GCTGGCCAACGCACGCACACTTCACCACGACAATGTATTTTTTTCAATTTGCGTCAAATTGGACTCTCGTCAAATAAAATGATATAGATCAGCATACAATTTTTTCACATATGTCAGGCTATATCGTGTGATTATTATTAGTTAAACAAAATATGGAGGTATTTATACTATGGCTGTTATTACTACCAGTTAAAGAATGCCTCTACCAAGCAATGAAAATTTCTACATTATAATATAACGGTACCGGTGTACTGTGCATTAATATTCAATTAATATATTGATACTTGATAGCATTATATGGTTGAAAACTATAAAAACTATATTAAAGACAAAATCGAATTAATGCGACGTAGTTATTTTGATTAATGATGATAAATGGTGTTGATTAGATTATTTGTCTTGTGACAACATTCAACCATAGACACAACATATGGTATAACATATAAATATAAATATTTTTTGAAATTTTTGAAATTTAAGTACAGAATGAAACAATGGAAAAATCTATAAAATAGTTCGTTCTCGAATGTTATTATATTCTATATAATTATATTTCCCAAAGTATTAGTTTGCTAATTCCAGATAAAAAAGCACCTATCACTCTGTTTACAATGTGCACCATCTACGAACCACAATGTTATATAGGATGTGTCCTTTTATTGATATTTGTTTTCTTTTTCGAGTCAATACTCAAAAGAACATAATACAATACCACTACAGGCCTATATATTATTATATATTTTAAATTTAACATGAAATGTTCATGTAGGAATAATAGTTCATTTTTAACATTATTTTTTTAGTTTTTGAAAAAATCTAACCCACGTCGATCGTAGAAAAATTGTTTTATTTTTTTAACTTAAAATATTTTTTATAAATTGTAAGGTAAAAGTAATGTGTTTAATGGTTATAAAAAATATCAGCAGTAGTTAAGATAAAAATGATCGCATACATTTTTAATTTAATTTTGTTCAAAATTTTTATATATAAAAAATATAATTTTAAACTTTAAGGAGCAGTTAATACTTATAAATTATAAGTTATACATTTATAACTTAGAAGATATAATTAACTACTTGCTTAAACTTCGATTTTTATCTATTAAATATTTGGCTTCAGAATATGATATAATGTCAGTCTTACTGTCATAAGAAAAGTTAAGAACTTTAGAAATTATAATGACAAAAAAGTCTTCTAGAATATTGCTTTGTAATAACATTTAAATTTATGCAAAAAATAATTTTTTTTAACGTTAATACTTATTGAGAAAAATGCACCTTTTAAAGAATCACCTTGTACCTATTTATAATAATATATATTTAATACAATATACGATATTATGAAATATAATAACAATTTAATTCGTGAAGGATGCGTGCTACAATAAATATGTTTTCCGGTTATAGTTTAAACACGTGTGTGCCGTCCAGCACTGAGCCTTGGATCGTCACAAATATTTCAATTATAACATTATAAATTATAATAGTAGGAATAAAAATATTTCCAGTATTAATTTTTTTAAATTTTACATAAGTATATAAAAATTGAATATGAATTTCTAAGTCCAAAACAATTTTAAATTGTTCGATATTGTACGAATTTCGTCGAAATTCTAAGTTTAAACCCTTATAAAATAATATTGTGATTATGTATTTTTTACTATACTTTTTAATTGGAAAATTAACAATTTATGAGATCCCTATCATATATTTTATTATTAAGCATTTTGACTCGGCAAAGATTTATTTTTCGACATTCATAAAAAAAAACTAAAAATATTACGAATATTACACTATATACGTATGTATAATATATTTAGTGAGCATTTCGAGTATCTTCAGTTATTCATTTTTTAATAGCACCTATTCGTTTTTATCAACAAAAACTAATTTTTATTAAAATTTTCGTTTTCCTTTATTTTTTATTTGTTTTCCAGATTTTTGTGAAAAATACTTGGAGTTTTGACCTCTGAATAATATAAACTATATGTACCTACCTAATTTGAGACTACCCTCAAAGTTGAAGATCAAAGCATTTTTCAACTATACTTATCATGTAATACAGACTACAGATACACACAAAAAAAAACTACTACATACATCATTCTAAAATCAATATATTCATCGCTCTACTTAAATTCTCAAATACATCATCTGTACGAGTATATAGGTTTTTTATTCGACACGACGGCGCCGTCAAAAGCACACAATATACGAAATCTAATATGATTGAATACTCATGTGGAACATTTTCAATTGGTTTCTCGGCCACTAACAATATATTATTACTAATACGAGAGAAGAGATATTGTGAGTGAGTCCGGATCGTATTTCGAATGGGATAAATCAACTATATAGTCATCGTTTGTATAATATAATATCACAAAGTAAATCGTTGTCGAGGAATCGTCGCGGGCGTGGCGCCTGCAATTATAAAAGCTAATTCAGTGGCATATTATAGCCACGTTGTCGTTTTATAATATTATTATTTATTATTTTTTAATTTTGTTTCATGTGTTTTATGACAAGGTCTGCTACAGCGCGTGGCTCCCGCCACTCTTTATAATTGTATTATGTCGTACAATGAAATTATTAGGACATACACACACAATATATTGAGGGTGATATTATAAAACCAACTAGGTATTCTAAGTATATTATAAAATTACATACAAAATTTTAGAACTAAAAATGAGTATAAAAAAAACATTTTTATTTTATATATGTCGCTGATTTTAACAATGTAATTTATGTACACTCGGGAATTTTACACTTAAATTTATTTTAGACGCATAAAATAGAAATTAGAATATTCCATTTATTATCAAATTATTTAGTTCAAAAATTGTATCCCCAAAAGATTCATATTTTCAACCTTTCTACTATCGTTGCATCACTTTATAACTAGCTAATTTTACATTTAAAATATATAACTATTTGATCACTAATTCAATTTAATGAAAATTAACAACATAACTTTTAAAATAGTTGAAATCCGTTAGTTCTTTATATATATATATATATATATATATATATGTATGTATATATCAGATCTTGTAATATTTAATCTAAACACCACGAACCCAAAACTTTTATTTTGAGTTTAGGTCAACCGCAAAAATATTTTAAATTAAAACGAATAATAAAGTAAATATATAATAAATTATGAAAATATTAATTGATGAAAAAGAAACACAATATCAAACATGATTTCATATAGCTTAAGTAAATACATTAAAAATTCAATAAGTATTTAAAATTACGATGAAACCATAATATTTGTTTCTATTAACAGCTTTCTAAATGAGTAATGGATCAATTTCCATAATAATGATATTCGATATTATCATATTACCTATATTTTATTTGCCAATCAGGAATACGTGGATTTTTATTTGAATTTGAAATAACCATCATATTATATACTGAATAATACTATGATGGTTTATTAAGTTGAAATAGAAGGAAATTAAATTGATTGATATTATTACGACTTTTTACATAAAATGTATTTGCTGTTAGCATCTACAATAAAAATCATTAGCCTGGTTAAACAATAAATTGTAGTTTTTATTATTTTAATGAATAATAAAACCATTGTAATTGACCTGTACAGTTGAATTTTTAATTGTAGGTTATTTACCTATAGCTATTAATAAAAATAAATAATTTAATATTATTGTTTGAAACTCTTTTTGATATTATTTTATGAATTATATCAAATTATTTGCTAAGAGTGATGTGTTTACTTTTAATAAAATCAAATATGATCGTGATCTTGAACTCTAAAAATAATACTTTTGCTACCCTGATATTAAAATTTATTGTAAGATTACCTAACAATAATAATTAATAATATAAATAAAACGAATTCAAAATATGTTTAATGTGTTTTAACGTTTGACATATATTTTAATATGAATTACCTAAATGCTTTAGATGAACAAATATAAATCACAATTTTGTAAACTTATAAACGTTAATATATGATGTAACTATGTTAACACATAAAAAAATGATGTGTCGGTGTGACAAGATAAAAACAAACAAAAATAGATCCGAATTTATTGTACTTAGCTAAGTCTTTTATTTTAATATTAAACATTTTTGTATAGTTCATATATTTTTTTAACTTAGCCTAAAACTCACAATATATTATGTATGGATAATACAATAGTATTGTTACTTGTTTAGGTGAATATGATTAATATATAACTGTACAAATATTTCTACATTTTAGTTTTTTTTTTTCGATGACATTTCTTACAAATTGTTTTATTTATTTTTTTGTACTCAAAAAAACTTAAAATAAGATATTTGACCTTTTCCAAGTTTAGTACTTATTAAAAGTAATGGTTTTAAATATGTATTTGAATACCTATATATTATGTGTATCTTAAATATTTAGTATAAAATCAATAATGTATTGAATTTATATGACGTAAAACCAACTTTATTTCTATATTTAATAAAATAGTATGAGTAGAAACACATTGTTACCTAATTAAATATTTTATACTTATATTAGGAAGCTCGTTTTGGTTTTATATTATAAGATGATATTGGTACTTATAATTCATAATCATTAAATGTTGTTATAAATGTACACAGTGCAGTTATCTAATTAAATTTAATGGGTAGTTAAAACTAGGTACAGAAAAACTTATATTTTATATCTGATTTGAAAAATATAATAAATTTAATTAAATAATGAGTATAAGCGTGATTGTTAGTTGTTTACAATACAATTTAACATGTCACATGCGGTTAAAAACTTTAAATTAAATTGCTTATTATATAATAAAATAAAAACAACTGAAATCTAAAAATGTATTTTTTCGTAAAATAATAAGTTTCTTGTGATATTAGGACATTACATAATATGTCGTTATATAAATTATATATTCTGCATTTATATACATTAAGAGTTTATATGATATTTACAAAACATTATAGCGATAATATATAACTAACGATTTTGTTATTTGTGATTTATTATAGGGATCTGAAGATTCAGACGTTATAACAAACACAGCGGACCTGTCTCTGGGCATTGAAAAAGAAGCGCTGCGGCGCGAAAATGAGCACAGAGCTCGTTCACAACTACTTAACAGTCGTGTAAGTATATGTAAAACAAATACTGTAATTTTATTGTTTTAACAAAAGTAAATAAATTAATGTATGTATTTTTATAAATATATTTTTAGAAAAAGTAACATCGATATTGATTAATGCGATGAATTAATATATTTAAGCTGTTTAGAAATCTAACATTAATAAACTTCTTGTAAAATGTCATTTACTATGATTTAGTTTTAAAATATTACTATCTAAAACTATTAAAAATAATAAGTCATATTTTTATTGTCAACTTTTACACAAGTACTCTAAAGATCTTTTAAAATTCTTAATTCTTAATTGTGACTGTAGTAGAAATTGATTAATGATTTGTTAATTATTCACAATAGACACAACTTTTCTTTTTTTTATTTGATACTTATAAATTGTAATTTTATGTAAACATTATTTTATTAATATAGTAATATAAAATGTTCCACAAACATTTTATTGTAATTTTATATTTTCAGTATTGAAGCGATTGTGAACAAAATACAGATAATAATAATTCCTATAATTATTTTTACGCGACGATGTTAAAAGTATAAATTGATAATTTTCAGACAAAACCGGTGGCGTTTGCCGTTCGCACAAATGTTGCATTTGACGGTAAAAAGGACGATGACTCACCAATACAAGGCTGTGCGATTACCTTTGATATTAAAGATTTTTTGCATATCAAGGTACGGTGTTTTTTAATAAAATAAATATCGTAGTAGTATTTTGGTTTTATTAGTTTTTATTTTTAATATACGTTTATATACTGGAATAATTATTATTTTTCTAGATATATAATATAATTAATTTGTTCACGATGCATGTAGTTTACTGTAGAAAAATCTTTACAATAAGATGATTCGTATTGTATTTTTATAATTACAACATGTAAGACTGGCAGGAAATTTAAGAAAATCTTATGGACCAGCTAGTTAGCGTGTTTAAAGTTGTCTGTTTTGTTTTTATACATTTATATACTTAGATTAGTCCATAAATTACTTGGCACGATTTATATTTATTATTTTTTTTATTTAACATCATATTAAATAAGTAAACATTAGTAATCAAAGTACAATAATCTTTTATTTTTAATACTTGTTGTAATGAGTATAGTTCTAGTTTATTAAAGAATCCCAAATTACCGCCTCTACCATTTTTGAAGAAAAATAAATCTACTCGTATTTCAACATACTGAATCTGGTTTTAATCCAATAATAATCATGAAAATAAATGTTATATTGTTGTTAAATTAACTTTTGATCCTTCGAACAATACTTCTAATATATTATCTTGAATAGAAGAAATATGCAGTTTTAATTTTTATAATTTTGACTCAGAGAATTTAAAATAAATTTCAATATAAATTCAAATATGTTTTCAAAATTATTATTAGAGCTAAACTTAAATCAGTACGTTAAGACATATTTTGTATTATTTTCCAAAAACGATAATATAGAATCCCCTTAACCAAGTTTTTACCTTTGAAATAAAGTTAAATACGCAACGTTGAATTTAATTAAAAACTTTATATATTAAAACCTACACTAAATAGAGTTAAAAGTAATATATTTTGTAAGATTAATTATAAAAAGTTAGTTTTAGATTTAAACAAGTTATTTAAAAATTTTAAATTATCTAACAAAAAAAGTTATTGTAAATAACCTACCTTTTTTTTTTTTTTTATTGAATAATTTTTTTTTTTTATTATTATTTATTGTATATTGAAATCATAATATTAAAATTTAAGGATACACATTTTACTACATACCTTTTTAAAATTTTAATCAATATATTTTTATTTTCTTATTATATATAAATTAATAGTAGAATTATTCAAAGTTTGTTTTTTTTGATTTAAAAATATACTATATTATTCAGGGATTTTTGAAAATTTTCAATGAATTAATGAATTGTTTGAAAAAAGAAAAAATAATCTAAACTTCCGATACAATAATTTTGGTGCATCCGAATTGCATGCCAAAAAAATAAACATAAATTAGAATGTTCAAATTACATGCCACGTACCCACTGCAAGTTTATTTTTATTTAACATATGCACTTATGTGCACAACTTAATCATTATTTTCGATTTTTCTATTTTTTTTAAAAATTACATGAATAGAAACTAATTAGTTTCTAGATTGAAATTTTTTTTTATCCAAGTAAACATTTTACCAAGTTTTAGAATATTACTCAGTGAATATTAAATAAAAAAGATTGTAGTTTAAGGTAATCAAGTGAATGTATTTTACATTTCTACATGGCATTTAAAATAAATATAAATATTATAAAATTTGATGGAGATTTTAACAATATACAATATAGTATAATTTTTTTTTTTTTTAATTAAAAAAGTCAAAAATAAAGTTTTAAATTGTGCATACTGATAAATAAAAATAAACTTGTGTTGGGTACACCGCATGCAATTTGGACATTTTTTTTTTTTTTGGCATGCAATTCAAATAATTTAAAGCCTCTCAAAACCTAATTTATATCTATATCGTACCTTAAAAAATAATGTAAAATGTTTTATTCTTCAGAAAAGTATAATTTTGAAAAATATATGTAAAAGACTAAAAAGGGATTGTAGACTCTCAGTCTTTGTAAAACTACTTTTATACAAAAGGTTTCTTAGCCATTGTCCTTAAACAAAAAAACGAAATTCGTCTTTGTAATTTTACGATATTATTTAGTCTACACTGTATTTATGTCTTGAGAACAGAATTGTATGACGTTTTCGAGTGTCCTCAATATGATTTTTACTACTTGTACATTCACCTTAGAGCACTCTTAAAATGCCCACTTGCAAAATATTTTGATTTCTAAAACGGCCTATTTAATGATAAAACCGAATACATGTTTTTTTTAAATTTTTTATTGATCCTATATAAAGACTTAAAAAGGATAGAGACTTGCTAACAATACAAATAAAATATATTAATGATATATCGGTGCATATTACATAATATGTGTCCCGAATTTATGAAGACAGGTACAATTCCTGCCGTATTTATTGCTGGGTTATTTACATAGGTAAATATTATTTATTATTTTTCTTGTACGTCTTAACGGGTAATTTTATAAATTCGTATCGACATTACCGCCATACCAATATTATTGACATCTTGTACACAAAAATAAAAATATATATATGTAAGTAAATTATTATACTTAATAATAATTTTAAAAAAATGAATAATTATAATAAATAAAACATAGAAACATAGTAGTAAGTAAATTTTGGGTATGCATTTATGATAAAAATTAGTTATGAATGACTTACTACTTAGTACTATTATAAAATTATAATACAATTCTTCGTTGTTAAATTTAATAATTTGAATTTCAAGATAATTAATATATTATCTTTTTGATCATTCCAATAATTTGTTTATGGTTTAATAAAACTATTCATGAAACATAATATTATTTATTAATTATTGTATTAAAATATCACCTCTACTATATTTAACAAGGTATTTGTCTTAATTTATTGTATTCTAGATTTAAAATTACATTGTTATTAATATCGCAAATATGTATTATATATATATTATTTTATTTGGAACTTAAATATCCTGTCAATAAATACGAGAAGTAAGTTTCGTTGGATATTTGGGATGCAACTAACTTATTGTAATATTAGAAATTCTTATCAACAATCTTACGAGACACAAGTAATAAGCAGCCTTATATTATATACAATTTTATCATCATAATATTATATATTACCTAACATACAAAAAAAAAATTTGGTAAGAGAGTAACTTTAAAAAAATAAATATTTTATTCGATATTTTTATCGTTAATCCAAAATTAATAATAGAAAATAAATTGCGAATTTATTATTAATAAACACATAGGTAGTGAACAAATTATGCCTAAAATTACCAAAAATAAATAATAATTTAAGAAAACCTTTAAGGGGGGGGGGTATAAACCATCAAAACCTTTTATATACGCGCATGGCTAACTATTTAATTTAATAGTAAAGAATTTACTATTAAAAAAACAATATATTAAACAAAACAGAAATATTAATTTAAAAAAAAAAAAAATTAAAACTATTTAATCTTTTACTGAACAAGAAAATTATTGTTCCATTTGAAATTATTCTGAATAAAGTTGTTATTTGTAAATTATTTACATAATTTTTATGAAAAACTGAACTATATATAAGTATAAAAACTTTGATTTTTATATTTATTAATAAATCATAACATGAAAAAAATGAACTGATGGATTTCAAAATAGTTTAACGTTAGTTTGATATAATTTAAATTAACACTGAAAATACTTACAAATTTTAATTTATAAAATGTCCATTTAATAGAAGATAAAAAAAAACGTCCATTTAAAGTGCATAAATGATAAAATATTTTCAAAAATGAAAGATGCATATTATAATCTATACTTAATTGTAATTTACTCATTGTAGAATTCTAAGGTCTATTATAAATCGTGATTAATTCTAAAGATAAATATTATATAACTATAATTTTATGTATAATTTTTTTCGTAACTAAGCTTTTGAAAATGTAATAGATTATTAAATTATTAAATTAAAATCTTCTACTTACTCCTCTTAATAGTAAAAAATTGGTGCACTAAAAATCAATAAAAAATATTCAACGTTGTAAAATAAGTTTTCATATCAGTATGCAATGCAGTAAATCACATGTTACTGCACCATGTGTTACAATATTTAATACTTCTGAAATCGTTGTAACTATGTGGTGGACATAAATACAGAGCAACAAATAGCTTACACTTGTTAGTAAAATACAAATATATATTTAAATTTGCATATTATAGTATCACAAACAAAAGGTTACGGAAAAAGTCCCCAATCTTAAAATACATAACGTTTTTAATCTAGATGTTTTAACCAGCCAATTCTTTTTTACAGATTTGTAAAAACCATTTAAAAATGTATTGGAAAATTAATGATTATATTATTGTATTATGACTATTATTATTTGTTTTTTTTTTTGTTTTTTTTTTTTTTTTTAATCGTTACAGGAGAAGTATGACAATAACTGGTGGATAGGCCGACTGGTTAAAGAGGGCTCTGATGTGGGTTTTATACCATCCCCCGCCAAACTCGAACTCCTACGTCAGATGAACCCATCACGAAGCTCAAAAAATCATTCTTCCAAAAACTCGTCATCGTCAAACTTAGGTGGTGTAATAAATTTAAATTATTTGATGTTTACTATTAAGGAGAAGGTCGAAAATGGTTGACTACGGGAGTTCTCTTCGTAGGATAAACTATTGATATCCTGAATTGTAAAAATGAAAAATAATCATAATACTTGTGATTTAAATTAAATTTTTTAACGTCTGTGTATGTTTTATATGTAACACGAACAATCTTAATATTTTTCAATCATGCCTTTCAAAAAATTTCTATGAAAATATTGTAATGCTGTTAAATAAAAAATTAATTTTTAATATTTTATTATTATTAACACTTTATTTTTATTTTTCATTTTTATTGATAACTGATAAGTATATTGTTTCTCAATCGAAAATCACGACTAATGATAACAAAATTCCATTTCATAATAACATAGTCCAATAATAATAATGTGATTGTTTTTATAACCAAATCTTAAAATTAAATATTTGATTATCAAAAAATTATTTTCTATTAAACATTTTCAATTTTATGTAAATTCAATAATACCCTAAAATTTTTCAAATTATTTTTACCGATAAAAATTCATAAAATCTTAAACTTTAATATTCCAGATTTTAAAATGCAATTCAAGGTTGCTCATAAATTTTCCTTTTAGAAATAAAAAAAATACCTAAAATACATAGGTAATTCACATCTTCTCACTATATTTAAACAAAAAATAACAATTCTTCATGAATCGATTTTAGTTATTTTGTTCGTTATTTAAAAAATATTAATCATAAAAACATTCCACCGTTAGGTATGTATATATATTATATGTGTGTGTGTGTTGTATACACAATACAAATTTTAAAATATTTAGACACATTTGAAATTTTTTTTGTTTAAAAATTTAGTTGGGTAACTATTCCCACTAAATAAACTAGTCTTGAGAACCGGGTTGTTGGATCTATATAAATAAAGTTTTCTTAGTTATATTTTACAGGTCCTAAACATTTTTGATACGATTTTATAATAAACTAACATGATATGGAAACGCATACAAAAATGTATTCAATGTTTAAAATAATAATCTGTGATATTATGTAGTACTTCATAGCTTAAGAACTCAATTTTTTGAAGGTAGTATATTAAAGACCAGATGAATAGCGGAGTAAATTTTAACAATCAAATTATTATGATTTATCTATAGTAAAATAAATTAAAATATTATGTAGAAAATGTAAAGATAACTGCATCTATAGTCTCCACTTAGTGATTCAAAATTTAATAATTGGCTATGTAAATAATATATACACTCGTACTCATTGTTCCTGAGTTTTGTTTACTTAAGTAAATTTACTGAGTGCTACATAAATGACAAGTCAGTTACCTAAAATTCATTACAAATTTAACTTACCAAGTAAAGAAAATATACTAATGATAATATATAATAAATTATCCTAGAAATATATACTGATCTACACTTTTCTTTTACTCAGAATCGTTTTTAAATGTTCCTTAAACAGTTTATCATTCAATTTTAATTCAACTCATCCATTACTACAGTGACTATTCAATAATCGGGTACACTTGAAACTTACTTTTGATACTATACAGTAGAAACTAGTCCCCTGTTTTTTATTTATCATTTTTTATAAATATTTGAAAAAATAATCAGTCGTACATATGCGTCTATATACCTATTATGTTATGTATTAATATTCTATTTGTTGATAAAAAATTATTATAAAAAGTAAAACCAAAATAATTTTAATAAACCTGACTACAGCGATTAGATATCAAGAAAGGTTAAAAGAAAATCCATTGTAAAGTGTTTAAAATCCTTGTTATTATTATTATTATTTATTCAACCTAAGATATTATTGTAAATATCAAACGAATCTGTTACACTATTTTTCGGCCTCGGTCTTTGTTATAAAAAAAATTGAATAATGTACTGTGTCAGTGTATTATAGAAAATAAAATCATTGAATGGCATGTTTATAGGACAATTTGCATATAATATTTAAGAGACGATTAGAATTCACTAAGCTATATATCGTATTAACACACAATACATACAAAAATATTGTACTTATTGTACTATTTAAATAAACAAACAAAAAACAAATAAATGTTGGCCTATGGAGAGCCTTTCTACAGTATTTTTTTTATTAATTGTAAATAGTTTTAAAATAATATAATATTTGAAACACTGCACCAGTCCACGGTATTATAATATATTCATATATTATAGATAAATGTTAAAGATAAAGATCACATTAATATTGTTTTATTAAGTTAAATTGTAGGTACTAGATAGATATTATGTTATAGTAGTAATGTCTTAAATTAAATTTCTATTTTGTTCTACGAATTTAACAAAGTTAAAATACTACACTGAAATAAATGTATCAACTTTAAAATAAGTGTAAATAAGTAGTGCCTACCGTCAGAAGTAAAATAAGTATCAAACACATTTTTAATGATAATTCCACTTCAGAGTTAAGATGCAGAAAAAACTAAAATCGCCGAAAGCAAATTTCCCTGGAAAAACTACATACATACCTTTAAGTAGATACTTAAAAATAAGCGAATGAAATACAAATTATTCTTGTGTTGCAGATTAGTAGTCAAATTAAATTCCCAATTAATTACTCAGAGTTTAATTAAAATATTAATCTTCAAATTGTTCAGTCAATATTCATCCCACTATACACCAGATCTGAATATTAATCGTTTAATTGAAGTACCTACTTTGTGTTTATAAAAAAATTAAACCGTATTCATTACAATGCATTCCATTAAAAAAGTTTAATTTAAAGGAGACATACTTATAGAACTCTTTCTACCGTACATGGTTCTGCTGTGTTTCAAGTGTAACTCATAATTAACTTACACAGGCCACTGTAATAATGGATATATTGGATATAAGTTCAGTAATAAATCGTTTGTATATTATAAAAAATATTTTTGTGTGGAGATCATATGCCTCTATTTCTAAGGAAATTCCTTAATATCTGTACAGTGTACATCATACTCCTACAAACCTACAAATAAAAGGTAGTCAGTATTTTATTTTATTAGGTTTTACTTTTTATGAAATACTTACACAGTATTATTACCTATATTACTAATCTTACTTTCTTTTTTAATCTTTCTATAGGCAAATATTTTAATAATTTTACTTTTTATTTTTAGACAATTTATTTTACTATTAAATAGAATATTAATAATTCACATAATATACGAGTAGGTATTGTATTACCTACAATATCTTTAATTATTTTTAAATTTTCATAAAATATTTTTAATAAGAAAACTGCGGACTAGCTTTTGTAAAAAATTGCCTATGTATCATTTTTATCTGGTACTTATTACATATATAATTTTAGTACTCAAAATCTTAAAAGTTTAAATGTTCTCATCAAATTTTAGAAAAAGATCTATCTTTTTGATAAATTACGTTGTTTATAGAATGTACATATTAATTCTTATCTGATAATGATCTACGTCTAGATTACAAAATATCTGATTATGCAGAACCTATAGCTAATAAATGGTAGGTAGGCACTTATTTTACTATGCCAGCCTTATCATATCCGTAGAATCAACATGTCGTGCTGTCATAGCGTTATTATTTACGTGTCTATAGTGCTTAAAAATATCCATAAAACGTTTTTTTTTTATTTGTTGTACTTTTATACAAAAATTTAACCATCTATAATAACTTTGAGTATCCTTGTTATCACATAAACTATAACTTTCGAGTGTACCTGACTATTGAGTCAGTAACTATAGTAGATGTATAGAATTTTAATTCCATAATAAATCGTTTAAAAAAAAAAAAAACGATTCTAACCAAAGTTGATCATGAATATAAAGATCATTTTTTATTTTTGCATTATTATTTTCTTAATTTGATATACATTGAATTAATTTTTTCTAAAAACATCATAAATAACTTATAATTCCATATGAGATAGTGTGAATAGGTTTTTATATAATTAATAATTTAAAATTAGTTTCAATAAAAAATAAGTATAATAAAATTTTTAAAATAGCACTGTATAAATAAAATAATAATATTTAAGTATACACTATACACCTAACTTTTATGTAGTTAAATGTTTCATGTTTCTATTATTTTTAAATTATAAACAAATAAATGATAACTATATAGTTTTGATATTTCTAACATATATAAGAATGACTAATAAATTATAAAAAATCTTAGATTAAATTATCAAGCTTTTTATATCAGAAATAAATATTATATTACCATAAATTTAAAATAATTGAATAGTAAACAATTTAAAATGTTTTTAATCAGGTAAACCAAAAAAATATTTTTAAAATTTCAATCATGTAAGGAAATATAAGTATAAAATATTTGTTGTTTTTAAATTATTAAATCAATTTTATCAAAAACTGTAGGTGTTGCATTAATATTCCTAATTTTTACAGAAATTTTCGTTAGTTTTTACGAACCATGAAGTAGTATAATTTCCTATTTTTAAATTTTTGATCCCACAAATTACCAATTAATGAATTCGATCAAGTTTACTACTATAGCTCATAACTTAAATCATCATCAATGTGGAATTTTAAAGCATATTAATTCCGTAATAACACATACACACTCACACATTTTTTATTTTTTTTATTCAAATCATTATGATATCAATCCATACATTCGCTTCACTCAAATCTAAAATATGAAACTATACTAAAAAAAATGTTAAACTTCAAACAACTATTAATTGTTTTCCTGTCAAATGAATTAATTCAAAACTATGGTATTTATGTTATTCTTAAACATTAAAAATGCTTTCTATTTGGAAGGACGCTCAGGCCCCCACTAAAAAAAAAATCCAAAGCTCTTCAAAATTATTTTTCAAATAGGTACCTATTTTACAACAATGAAAAGAAAGATTCAAGCCCCCCCCCCCCCTAAAATTCAATTAAATATCCGCTTATGACCCTAGATAATATACTATAACTATTAAAATGTATAATAAGTCGATTTACCCTAATATTTAAAATAATAAATTTACTCTGAACGTAATATTTACTAGATATATCGTGAGTTTTTAAGACGAAAACTACACATGTGAGTAGTTATAACACCCTCTTAATGAAAAATAATTGAATAGTCATACCTAACACCAACAACATATTATTAGAGTATGTGGAATATAATTATTATAATAAATGATTAAATATTTTAGACATGAGATTTACTCGTAGATCTATTAAATTATGTTTACTATAGTGTTATTTAACATTAAACCATTACATTTTTCATATTATTATTCTAATTTCTAATCTTTATATTACAACTTAAATTAACTATTGTTTAAATCAATATTTCTATTTTTAATAGCTGAAGATGATGATCCTATTGGAAGTGGTCGTATATCTGCTAGAACCACATTAACTGCTCCAACAGCTAAAGACAAACGTAAAATTTTCTTTAAAAAACAAGAGACCACACCACCTTACGATGTTGTGCCATCAATGAGACCTGTTGTACTTGTTGGTCCATCACTAAAAGGATATGAGGTGACCGATATGATGCAAAAAGCCCTATTCGACTTTTTGAAACATCGTTTTGAAGGACGGTACGTTTTTATGGTTTACTATTGTAGTTAGAGAAAATATTTAAAAAAGTGGGTGTTTTATTAGTTCTCTTTCCTCGATCATGAGATGGAAAATTCAACTAATTTCATTATTGGTTAATTTTTTTTCAGAATAATTATTACACGTGTAATGGCTGATATATCTTTGGCTAAACGATCTCTTCTCAATAACCCTTCAAAAAGAACAGTCATCGAAAGTAAACCTGGTTCAAATTCAAGAACGAATATAATGGCTGACGTACAACAGGAAATAGAACGGATTTTTGAACTCGCACGGACATTACAGGTAAAATATTATTTATTATAATTAAAAATATTTAAAAAATTGTATGAAATACAATTTTAATTTATTTAGCTTGTCGTTTTGGATTGTGATACTATCAATCATCCGTCGCAATTAGCAAAAACTTCCTTGGCGCCAACCATAGTTTACCTAAAAATCTCATCTCCTAAAGTAAGTGTCTTAAACTTATTTAAATACTAAATCATATAAAACGATTAACAAGTCATGGGTTATCAAAAATAGTTTTAATTGAATAGCTCGATAAATTTTAATAAATTGTGAGCTCATATAATTCTCACAATTCCATACGATCTTATTTTATTCATAATTATTTTTGATTATTGAGTAAAAATATAAATACCCTATAACTATGACATCAATAAAATATTTCCACATAATTTAAATACATGTATTTAATCATGGATAAAAACTGGATAATAAATTTTAAAGGGACTACTTATAAAATATATATTACTCAATGTGTTTTTTTTTTTTTTTTGTATTCGTGATTGACGAAAGTACTTATAACATACAAAATTAATAAAATAATTTTCACAAAGATTTATATAAATAAATCAATTTTTAGTGAACACTTATACATCAATTTTCCTCGTATACAAATAGTTGTTGAAATTTATAATTTTAATAATTAATAATTTTCGTTATGTACGGACATTTCACTTTTCAGACCGAATCCTAAACTAACACAATTTTTAACAAATTATTAAATTATTAACGTTGAAATTGAAATATGAGTATAGATTGATGACACAACTTTATAGTTATTATAATACTGTAATACTAATATAATAAAAATATAATATAAATGTAACATTGATACAATGGATAACATTGAATTGAGTCTCGCAAATACTTTTGAGTTATCGTAGTTGAGTCTGACCAATATTATTAGGTCATTCGAGTTGAGTCCCTTTCATTAATTGTAATTATTAGAATGATGAAAAAAAGAGAAAAAGAAAGAAAGAAAGAAATTTGGATTTTTAAATTTTAAGTATATTATAAACAAAAGCACAGGTGCGTAAAGCGCCGACACGACGAAACAGCACGATAGAGCACAACGAAACGGCACGATGGAGTATGACGGGAGAGGAGGCTTATCGGACGGTGTGTCGACCGATGCAATGCCGGAATTACTCTGACTATTGCACCACAGGACAGGTGACCGATCGATGCAATGCCAGAATAACTCCGACTATTACACCATTGACCGAGTCACAAACCGTCTGATAAGTGTGCTCCGGGAGGCCGCCTTTCCTACTTTGCGTAAGTCTGCCCGGGTGGGTCTTACTACAAGTTCGGAAAGACGAAGAATGGTGGCGATGGTCGTGTAGTGGGGGCCTTTTATACCTGGTTCATCGGCAATTACACTGAATCGATCCCGTGTTCTGTGACAGAAGCACGAGAAGATACCTGGTGAATCAGTGATTACACCAAGTCGGTCTCGTGTTCTGTGACAGAAGGCACAAAACCCCAATAGTTAGTTGCCGATGAACGTACAATTAAATAATAATTAAGATAATACGTATAATAATATAATAATAATAATTATAGGAAAAAATATGAATATAATATAAATATTTAAGAGCTTATCGCGCACAGCGCAGACAATAACAACATTATATTATTTAAATAATATTAATTTAAAAAAATATAAATCTATTATTTATCGCACACAGCGAAAACATCAATAAAATAATAAGAAAAAACAAGAGGTAGTGCAAACAGTAATAATAAGTATAAACAGTCAATTAATTAAAAAATAATAATAAATAAAAGTACTTTTTGCCTAGAGAATAATTTTTTATCGATAGTTATAGAAAAATACTAAAAAAAAATTGAAAATTTTATCATAATATAGGTGTTGAAAATAATAATTTGGAAATTTTAAGTACATAATTATCTTATGATTTTTGAAAATAAAACAAAATATAAAAAATTGAGGGAAAATAATTATTTTACGGGTGAATATCTAAACATGATGCACTCCATTTTTCACTCGTAATAATTTAATAATTAAGTACCTAAGTATTAACTAATTGTGTATTACGATCGGCTATATAGGTAGTTATGACATTTTATCTATACGGACTCAATTCAAAGATATTAAAATAATAATCTCGACTCGATTCAAACACATAAAAGTAGCATGGACTCAATTCAATATCATCGGGTACAATTGGGCTGCATCAGGGACTAAATACACGATATGCTTTTGGAGCGAGTGTCTTTAGATAAAATGTAAAGCCCTATTTAAATGCCATCATCGACGTCATACTTACTAACATACCCATACCTACATACAATGGCGAGTTACAGAAAAACGTATATTATACGCAAAGTCTGCATTAACTATCGTTTAAAAGTTATTTAATAAGATTTTGAACTTAACTAGCTAGCTTATTCTCTATTGAACTTACAAAACTTAATAACTCAATTAGATCTACTATCTATTGAACTAGATTATTTATTCAGTTAATCTAAAAAATAATTAGCTCACGTTTAATTAATATTAAATACGTCACAAGAGTCCTGGACTCGGGTTCCACGTACCCTTAGGGTATAAGAACGAACTTTGTTTACATTTGTCATTGTATACACTGATACAGGTACTCCAACGGTTGATTAAGTCCCGGGGCAAGTCTCAAACCCGACACCTGAACGTGCAAATGGTGGCGTCCGAAAAATTGGCTCAGTGTCCGCCAGAGATGTTTGATGTGATACTAGACGAGAACCAGCTAGATGAAGCGTGCGAACACATATCCGAATACTTGGAGGCGTATTGGCGCGCGACTCACCCTCCCGTCACGCCCGACCCTAACGAACAGCAGTTGTTGACTAGGCCGATCAGAAGCTCACCGAGCATTGATATGCCGATCATGTCGTCGATGATGAACAACTACCAGTCATCAGGTGAGTCGCAATTGTCGTACTCGTTGGTGTCGAGCATCAACGTGTTCGCTAGCCCCATCATCCGGCTACAATGATGTATTATGTCATTGTTAATATATTATTACATTGTTTAATTATTATATTATCAAATAATTATTGTCATCTACACGTGGGTATATTACGTAGGTAATGACCAGGGTTGATTTTATAGCACTTAAAATCTTATAAATATACATTAAAAACGACAAAATTTGTAACAAAAATAGCAGAAGCTATTTATTACCTATAGTGACTAATATTTTTATTAATTATTTAAATATTATTACTTCTCAATTGTTATTTATTAAGTAAAAATAGCATAAGCATAATATTTATGTATAAAAAACATAAAATTAAGACACATTCTGAACAAGTAAATATCTATATATTGAAATAATAAAACAGTGTTAGATGAGCGGAAATTATGATGTGTAAGACAACGCTTTGACGCAAATTTTTAAAACAAAATATAATTTAATTTTCTCCTATGAGTTATATTGTGGTTAACAATGTAATTTTTAAACATGAGTATTGTCTCTGCCACAAAACAAATTTTAGACTTTTATTGCTATTTTTCAAATATTTTACGTATAAGAGACTATATGATATTGCTATAAAATCTTAACCCTGGTAATAACCATCTCGAACACTACATCATTACGTAAACAGTGTACGGACGCTTTTGAACAAATTGTATATGTTACCCATGTTTAAAGTATACTCATATTATTTCGCTTTATTGTATTAAAATTATATTATCGTATTATAGTTTATATAGTTTGGTTTTATTCTATTTTAGAGAGAAAAAATACTACCCAATACGATTCAATAACGATATTATTCAACTACTGCAATGTCGTTCACCCCCAGTAGATAAAAAAAACCACTGTGTGTATTATTACGCAAGTCTGAGCAGTACAATGAATAAATTAGGTTAATTGAGTAAAAAAACTCAATAGAAGCAATCAACTTTACAAAATTGAGTTGAATAATATACCTACTAATAATAAGTGGACAGCATTCGTATCGCTTCTGAGTTACTATAAAAGTTATAACTTATAACTATCAAACTCAAATGTGATTAAATTCAATATTAACTTGTTATTTATTGTGTTAAATTTAACTTATCGATTTGTTAATGCCCAGTCTTGTAATATATATTTGCGTGTACCCGGTGTACGTACGTTTTATAATGCAGTCGTACGGTATAGGATACATAGAGGATAATTTGTTTAATTTGAGACATTCGCAATTTTGGCTACTACATAATGATAACTGCACTGTACTGCTCTTCTCGTAATCTCATATCTATTGCTTATAAATAAAAAACAATAAGACATTTAACGTAAATATGTTGCATTTTTGAAAAATATAATGCAAAACTTAAACTAACTATATCATAAAGAATATTTGACTTACCGAAAGGTCTAGTCACAAGTTGGTACCTATTTAATATTATACATTTATAAAAATGTGTTCCATGAAATACAATTTTCTAAAGTACAATATTAAGTGTCTTGATCTTAAAAAAAAAAAATGCATTTTATAAATATTGATTATTATTTGTAATTGCCATAATTTATACCTAACAATATATTATTTTCTTTTTACTGTAAGTAGGGCTTTTAACGAATAAGGTCCCAGCCTTCAAGTATAATATTTAAATATCTAATATTATTGACTCCTTTTCTACGTCTTGTAAAATATTTCACTCATCAAATAATCGTTCCAAAAAATAAAATATTAAATATTGTTACAATATCGTTTATAAATCTTTGTTTCGTAGTACAAAATATTTAAATTCCCTAATTCGTATATCTTAGTACAGGAAGTTCATTTAATAAATCCCACGAAGCAAAATCAAAATCATGATATTCGGGTTATTATTAGTTTATTACATTTAATAAGCTTTTTACACAATCTGACGAGGACAATGTTTTCAAAATACTAAAAATATATCAACTTCGTAAAATATTTGTAACTAATTCGTTAGATGTATCATACAAAAAAATTCAAACTATAAAGTTATTTTAAAAATATTTTCATCTCATGATTTGGTAATAGATGTTTAAACTCTAAAATTGTATATTTAACGCCATGATTTTTGTTTTGCATAGTACCTATAGTTTTTCTCTATTGCTCATTATATTGAAATAAACAAGTCCTCATAACCAGTATTATGATTGCGTAAAGTGTTTGATAATTAGTAAATTGTAACCGTATCTAAGTTAGTATAATTTAATTATGGATTAAAAATAAATATTATTTAAAATTTAATTTAAACATACTCTTTCTATTATATTTATGCTCAAATACCTACTTAAATACTTTTTAAAAATCATTTATACAACACAGCTCTCAACACAATAAACCAACTTCTGCAGTTGATCTTCATTGTTATCTAAATTTATAATTAAAATTTAATTTTCCATATTTTATATTACATATTATTTTAATGATAATTATTACGTGTAATAATTAATGTGTTAATTATAAGTGTAAAAATGTCATGCACACTGCAGTATATTGTAGAAACAAACAACAAACGAATCTTCGGCGGACGAAGATCGTATAATATATTATTATTATATTATGATATAACAAAATTTTATTGCACGTGTAAACAACGTGTTGTGAAGAAGCAAAATGCGATATTATATGACTATTTGGTATAACGCTATGAGTTATATAATCATTTCCGAAGGGGTGAAACCGACAGGTACGTGTCCGATTGAAATGAACTCAAATGTTGAATGCTGCAAGACGTTCGTACAAAATTCGGACTTTTTATAGACTATCACGTCAACAACGATAATAATATCAAAAATAATATTTGATTCTTTCAATATTTTTCTCAGAAATCTTCGCTTTTTGAGATCGTTGTCGCCGTGTATAGGAGTATAATGCGTCTCTCTTTTCCACACTTATTCTATAATATTATACTACTAACGATTTCGTGTTTTATCGTTTTATGTTGATTTTGTTTTTTTTTTTTTTTAACAAAAGAGTTTGTACGATAATAATATTTAAACCATTACAACGTTAAAGCAATTTTTTTTTGATACCTTGATACTGTGTTAATGTCTATTATAATTTCCTTAAACTTGCGATTATTTAAAATTTTATGACTTTGAAAAACATTTTATTTTCTCTTCGACTTAGACTTTCAATATTTTTTTATTGATTTAAAAATGATGGCTAAAATGACAAGACACTTAGCTAGCGCGAAGTTTATCTGATATATATTCAAAGTATATTGAACAAAATTTTAAATTTTCAATAATATAATTTGTTAATAATAACTCATAGCCGAACATTATAGTGTTTATAATATTACAATCGAAACATTCTCTGTACTAAAAATTATCTATTGCTATATAGCTTTCGCTAATATTTACTATTTAAAAAAAACTTAACTTTTCCATTTCGAGCTATTGCACCCGAGCCCAAGTCGAAAGTAAATATTTTGTTTTCAAAATTCAATCGCAACGAGTTCAACTAAGAACACAAAAATCCGAACTCGTATCAATCGTATCCTACAACAATACACCTGCAACACGTTTCGAGATCATTCAATCATAAAGAAAATACCTATGGTTAGAGTTTTTTTCGCATGTTTTTATTTACTATTATTGTGTCCCTTAATTATTGTTATGAATAAATTAACACTTTGGTTTTTTTTCATAATATTCAGTCTGAGTCAGAACTGGTCTTATATTTTCCGAGTGACGGAAAAATGTGTTTCATCGACATCGTCGCAGCATGCTTAGTACAGCGCAGTTAACCCGCTGGCTTGCTGTTTATACTATTTCAACTTATTTTTTATTGGATATTATAAAAAAGAACCGGTTTTTGTGAATGTTGTGACTGCACAATAATTATTAATATAATATTACGTTGTTCAGTATCTATAGGTTGCCTCTCCCTGTCCTCGATCACTTGTAAATCCGGACTTCGTGATTATATTACGACAATAATGTTGTGTGCCCTTTAATATTCGTTTTTTAACAAACGGTTTTCGCCGTGAAAATGTGTTTGCAGAATACCAATCGATGGATCGCATGCCACCGCGTCTGGAGCGCATGCGCACCACCGAGTACGACGACTACGAGCTCAGCGATCACGACAGCATGGTGTACGTACCGCCGGCCATCGGGTACCAGTCGAAACAACCTCAGCAGCAACAGCATCACAAGCAACAGCAACAGCATCATCATCATCAACAGCAGCAGCAGCAGCATCAGCTGCATCACCATCAGCAGCAGCAACAGCATCACCATCAGCAACAGCAGCAACAACAGCATCACCATCAGCATCAGCAGCAACAGCAGCTGCAGCAGCAGCAACAGCACTATCAATCGCAGAAACAGCAACACCAGCTGCCGCAACACTATCAACAGCAACAGCATTCGCCCATGCGACGGCAGCACAGCGTGTCGTTCGAACGGGGCCAGTCGCAACGCGGACAGCCGCGTCCGGGCAGCAGCTCGCACAACGCGCCGCACCACCAGCTGTCGTACCAACACGGCTCGCAGACCGACATGCTGACGCACAGCCCGCCGGAGAACTCGTCCGATCATCTCATGTCGTACATGTCGCCCACATTCAGACCGTCGTCGTCCACGTGGCGCGGCAACATTTAGTACAAACAGACGGAATTTTAATAACAGCGCGCTCGACATTATTACACATGGGCGACCGATGGCGATCGTCCGACACGTACAGTAACGATCAGTGGCGCAACCGGGAGGGCAGAAGTTCCCCGGGTCCGGACCCCCCCCCCTTGAACCCCGTTATTCGTATCGTTCTAAAATACCGCGATTTCGCTGTTGTCACAGCAGTTTACACATCGTATACGTGTATACCTTTATTTCTTATACATTTAATTATCATTCAATTTTACATTATAATCACAAATGTTTACATTAATCAAAAAATAAAATAACAATTGAATTTGCTTGCTACTTTAAAATAGTTATATTCTTGGACACCCCTCCCTCCTTAAAAGTCCTGGTTGCGCCACTGGTAACGATACAATAATATACTTGGGATTACAACGATATCAATCGCGCGGCCTGTCTGATGAGTACCTACGCCTCTATATATTGGCCGGGCGGTCGGTGCAGTTCCGCGTTTGAACGTGGTGCTCCTGCAGTTGTTGTATTGTTATTGTCGTGTTCCGATCGTCGTTTGTAAATAATATTATAACTAAACCGTCGGCGTGATTGTCATTAATATTACCGTAAATCAAACAAGTGTCATGTAAAACCCCGTTAGGAGGGTGTCATTGCGATATTATATATACATACCTATCTTAGTATTAGTCTCAACACATCTCGTAGATAATAAAGCAGCAAATAGGGCCGTCGGATAATGTAAATAATTGGACAGGACGCGTCCTCATTGCAATATATAATCGCAAAAACGACGCTGTCCCGTGAACAGTATATTACGTGTCCCCCTCCTCGGGTAGGGAAAAAAATCGCCTCGTCGTTCGAAACGAAAATTTGGTTCCACGTCTTATCCATTAATTCGTTATCCCTGTGAATAAGACAAGCCTATATTATAATCACGGGGTAACCATTTTTTTCGGACCAAAGCAAATGGACAGTTTTTGTCTTCTGTCGGAGGCAAACTGGTCCTTTTCAAAAACAACGAAAACAATGGGCTCCGTACTTCTTCTGTGATATAATACCGTAAACGCGCATGGTCATGTAGGCTAGACCGAAATCATGAAGCGTGATAACTAGTCAAGGCATATACTATTCGATATTTTTCAACTCTTATAAGATCTCCTCCTCCTCCCTGCCCCCTCGATACACGTGTTTATTCTACAATAATTCTGCACACAGTGCGGATATCCTCAACCGGAAATGTCCTATTCACGTGCATTTATTATTGCTGTGAATAAAACCCCAAAAGCTTATCGTTCAATACTCGTTTAATAACCATGGTCCATGAGTAATAAATTCATTTTTACATTATCTTTAGTGATAAGCATCGACGCCCTTTATACTACTTTATTATCTAGGAGACAACACGCTGCACTGGTATACCCATACATAGACTTATTCGGGACATTTAATCGTGTAAAAACTATATGCAAGTCTATGAAGGCGTATACTTTGCACGATAGTTAATGATAATATGATATAATATGTGTAAATATATTATTATTATAATTTAGTAAATACGTCATTAATATTACATTGAACTTCAATTGCCTTAATTGGACCAACATTATACTGAGTGCTTATTATAATTATTTTATAATTGTATTTCGTATATTAACTTTATAACGAATAAATCTGGTTAAGTTTATCCGAACAATTTCATATCTAGTTATAAAGTTTATTGCGTATAATTAATACCAACATTATTATTAAATTTAATTTAATAGCTATTTTTATCCGATAAATTAACGCCTGCCACTAGGCTATATTCGTGTAGAAAAATATAACCCTAATTATAAAATTCTCGACATTTTTTGTTAGGTAGCGTTATTACTCTTGTAAAACATGACGTTTAATGTTTTCAATAGTATGTATAGGTTAGTTTAGTATAGGTTTATTAGAATAGGTATACGGCTAATATACATAACGGGTAAATAACTAACTGAAGGATAATTGTTTTTCATAATGCTTACCCTCGTTTATTCTTAGTAAACGTGATAAAATTATCAATTTTAAACTAATCGCCTTTGTGTGTTTCTCTTTGTGTTTGTGTTTATTTGGTTAATGTACTGCTTTTTTAATATACAATTTTTTTTTAAATTTATTTTCATTTTTATCGTTACGTGGTTAGATTTATTTATTTGTGTTATTTTCTTTTTTAAATCCGTACACCGTATTCAATAGCATCGGTTTTCAACCTAAATTCAGTTTGTTATATTATTGCATATTTTGTTTTTTTTTTTTAGAATGTTTCCAAAATTATTATAACACACACTGTAAACAGGGTCTTTCCGAATTTCACGTTATAGAAAAACAACGGGTAATGCTTATTTAATAGAGCATTATGCAATCCCCTCAATTTTGTAACCTGAAATTTGGAAATCACTGTGTATAAAATATAAGTATAATTTAAGTACTCAATTAGATTGCTTTTTGTTTCCCATAATATATAATAATTAACGGTCCTATGGTTTCCTATCTCAAATTTTTAATATCCTATTAGAGAGATGAAAATTAAACATTAATTATATATTATATAATATTATTATCCGATTTTGTTTACTCATATTATTATGAACTATTACATTGTAATAATAATTAATCTTATTTTACCATTAATTTAAATTTTCATTTTTTTTTTAATATTTAATAATTAAATATTAAAATTGAAGAAAATTGAAAGTAATAATAATTTCTATTAAGTCAATTTTAAAATAAAATTTAATAAAAAATAATTATAATAATAAAAATAGGTATAGTGGATATCTACTATTATTGTTACTCTTGAAAAGACTTCTCGCTTTAAATAGATCAATTTTTTTTCTTTTATTGGCGGTCCATACGAATAATACTTTTAATGCTTATTATTATTCATTTATTTTGTTTACCGTATACGAATACTGTTATCGTGGTCGCTGTGTGTATAATTGCTTTTATAATATTATTTTCGTCTTCATTTGACTTCCATAATAATATCTAAACATCATTACTCATTACATGCTATAATATTCAAAGTTACTTGTAACTTATTAGTGATTAATTATTTTACCGACTATATCACCTACTACATCGTTTCATCCGTATATTTTTCTGATTATCTTATCCAACCGATCATCGACACTTTTAAACATTTCAAGGATTTTCTTCGTATTTCTGAGGACAAAAGAAACATTTTTTTTTTTTTCAAGACATTTTCTCAAGTACCTTCGTGATCTGGATATTAGTAATTCGACTGCAACGTGTGCCTACTACCTAGTGCTGTGTATAATGATATTGAATTTTTATAATTCGATTTACTATTGCATTTTTAAATAAAAATAATTGTACTCATTTCCCACAACATATGACGCGTATACGTGACAACGTAGTCAATACAAATGTAATATTTTGTATAGGTACATTTTATACAAAATATCATAACTATATTACTGTTTTAAATTTTTCTAAACGCTTTGCTTTTTAATAACGTCTATATTATATAAATTCAGAATTTTATGACCATACAATGCATTTCGAAACGCAACTTTTAAAACGATATTAATACGCCTACTAACAATTTCATATTTTGTCATTTTATTAAATTATACGATATGGGATCAAAAGAAAGGACGCTTGGCCATCCTGTAGCTATTTATATACACGCAATTATATTACGACGATATGGTAAACATTTGATCTATTTCGTATCCGGTAACTGAGTGGAACGGAAGTTTTTTTTATGATATATTAATATATTATTGCTGATTTGACTGTTCTTATACGCGTCAAAAGTATTATTATTAGTCGCATCGACTCGTGAACAAATCCGATACGTTTAAAATTAATTATATATGTATATTTATATACATATGTATAAATATTGCACCATTTGTAGTTTTATTATAATTGCATATTATTATTATTATTATTATTATTATTATTATCATTATTATTATTATTATTATTATTATTATTATTATAGTGACTAAATTGACACATGATTTCCTATGTATAATGGTTTTGTTGATACTTTGTTGCGCGATAAGAGTTCCTTTCGAGTTTACAATACGAGTATATTATCATTAATTTTTAACACCTTTTGACATGAGTAAAAACATTATCATATAAATATTTTATTTATCGATTAACATTAAAGATCGTTTAATATTATATACGATAAACAAAAATAAATAATTACAAAAATATACTCGTGTATAAGTACTCGATTCCTTCATTTATTTTACTCAGTGACGTTTTTTTTTTTCAAAATACGTATCGAATGAGATGTTTTCTATATTATTATGTAGTTCCATGTGTTTGATATTTTTCCTTATCATTATTATTATTGTTATTTTTTGGATCGCGAGTCCGATTGAGTGTGACAAAATATGATCGCCGTAATTATTATTATATGTACGTTTTGTAGTGGCTGACGTAATAATATAATATCATCATAATTATATTTATATAACATATTATTATTATTATTATTATTATTATTATTATTATTATTATATTATATTATATTATATTATATTATATTATATTATAGTGTTTTAGTGTGTGGATATTGAACTTCGATTGTTCGAAATAGTTGGCATAACATTTATATATCATATAATACGAAGAATACATAAATATATATACTACAAAAATTCGTTATTTTTTTTCCTTTATTTTTTATGCTTTTGTCTTCTTTGTTTTCTATTTTCTTTATTTAATTATTTTTGTCCACTGTAAGAATCATTACCGAAAACCAGAAATTTTTTCGATGACAATTATGTTATATTTATATGATGAAATATAACCACCGCAGATTTAATAATAAATTAATTCGATAAGGAACTTTGATTAAAACAAATGCAAAATAATTAAAGATCGTCTGCCAAGATTCTGTTTAACAAAATGTTTTTAATTTTAAATAAAAAATGTAGAGACTATTACCTCTTAGACTTTGGTTCCCTGTTACTCGATAATTTTAACTATAGATTTTGGTCAGGTTCCTATTTTTGAAAAATATAAATAACCTAACGTTAGATAAAGTTCTCTTTAAAACTGGTATTAAAACAATTCCGATGTTATGCTGTTTCTATTATTGTTATTATTCATTTATTTTTTATTTTATCAAGAATAAAAACATCAAAAACTAGGACCATTAGCCTACAAAGTCTTACATAAGTTTTATGTAATACACATTGTTTTTCATTTAGCTAATAATAAATAAAATTTTAAGATTTTAAAAGTATACATACGTATTCGCATTTGAGGTATTAATTTACAATAGGTTTATAAGTCTAATGGAGTCGTAAAATTTTAAACATCATCTGTGTTGGTTTCCCCAAACGCTTTCTCTATGTTGGTTGGCTGGCTTAAGATGTGTCGTTCTTCGTCGTAACTATGTTGTAATAGAGTGTGAAAATTTCAAACGTCAGTGGTACACTAGTGCATTGCATTGATAACAGATTGACTATTTTTCTTGAATTAAAATATAAGAATAGGTTACAGCCAATTTTAGCTCCGATGGTGGTAGCAATATCTACTAATTGGGCTGTGTTAGTGGAGGTCACCATTTTTTGGACTGGTTTTTTTAATATTTTTTAATTTTTTAAATTTATTATCTGTTATACAGTCTCATTGGGATTGCTACTGCTGAATGGAGATTTCGCTGACTATCTTAAAAGATCTTTGTACGGTCATGACTTTATTGTTATTATTATCATTCCGTTTTCGATATTATATGCTAATCATGAATTGTTTCCTGTTTTCTTCTTTTTCTCGACTTATCTTGTCTCATCGTTTAATGGTCGTATTTACTTTTATATCCTGGAAATTACCCAAGGGTGGACTGCGATCGCGTTTGTTTTTTATTGTTAATAGCATAATTTATCATTACCGTGTCACAATATCCATATGCTCTGCAATTGATTGTATTTTGTTTGAGAATTTTTTTTTATATATTATATACGATGTGTGCGAATAAAGAGTTTCACAATAAAATTATTATATATTTGTACCTGAAAACGTGTGCTTTTTTATTTGTGTGTTCTCTATAATATATAAGATCATGCTCAAAACAATGTTCAATGTGGTCAATAGTAAATAAAATAAAAATAAAAAATACTGTCCGAAATACGTGAACTATAATTTTTACTTTTTATAGGACTTATGACATTCCACAAAATATGTGATTAAAGGATAATGTATACATATTATATTATATTATTATAAAAAGGTGCTTAATATATTATTATTATATTATTCTTACTATTGTGTGTCTCCACTATTAAAGTTGACTTTATTATTATTTTTATTATTATTAATACTATTGTAAAAGAATGTATGAAATTATGTATTTTATTTTATTTATTCCAGTAAAAATACACTATATAATGATTTCCCGTGATTTTATCATGTAAAGTTATAATATATACATATAAATACGTAATTTGTACAAATGTCTTAAGGTTATTTTTTATGTACTTGTCTTAAACATTATATACTTTTTGCTTGTGGACAATTTACGAACAAATTTTATGTAAAAATGTATACCAAACTATATCACAGCTTAAAAAAATCTCCTTTAACAATAATCCAAATACAATTAAATTGTATGACGTATTAACGTATAACATTACAACAAACGATACACAAAATTATATAATAATACATATACAAATATAATGTAATGTTAATATTTAATAATAACCTTCGCGTCAAAGTCGTATATATTATTATAGGAATATTGTGATAGATGTTTAATGTTTATGCAAAATTTAACTGAAAAAAATAAATAATTTAAGAAACTTATTCATAATATATACTATATATAATAGATATCATAAACGTGAATAAAAATAAAGTCCAAAAACGTTTACTTGTTGGTTATTTTAGTGATTTATCGGGCTTATTAATCTTAGTACTGTAACTATGCAATGACATATCTATGAAATGGCATCAGATTCCCCACACCGAAAACTTTTTGGTGTAATTAATGTTATACCTTAAATGTATGATGTGTTTATAATAATATTAAATAGTTTAAAATATTAAATTTTTGTTTAAATTTTTTATTTGTCAAGGACAATAAATTACCAATTATACATTTTTTAAAATTTTGAACAGAGCAATAGTTACATTTATATTTCAATGGACAATGATTTTCGAATTTTTTTCTTGCCTCTGTCATAATGTTTCGGAATAGAATAAAAGCAAATCTTAAACTTTGGTGATTCTGGTACCGTTAGTTTTTATTAATCAAAAGCCAATAATTATACTTACCTACATACATCAGTAGGTACTTAGAATTTTCACCAAAATTATATAAACATAATATAAATTTCAAAATATTTTTAGACCATTGAACTATTTTTAGAGATTTTTAATTATTTGATTCTAAGTCTGAGTAAGAAGATTCCTTACAAGTTGTTCTAACAACAATAATATTATTAAAAATATCAATACCTAATACATAAACATACGTATTCTTTTTAAATAAATAATTTAAGTTTAATGTATCTCATAACTCTTGTGAATAACAAAAATTCATACGATTCTTAATTTAAATACTTAAAGTTTGAAAGATTATTACAAGAATACTCGTAAGCAGTGCCTGATTTACCAATTCATGGGCTAAGTATAATTTACAATTTTGGGTCCCAAATTGTTCATTTCTATATTTTTCAATGCCAAAATAAAATGTACGCAAAATATATTTATAAATTAATGTTGTATGTAATTATCTGTTTATAAATGAGTAGTTGGATCATAGAATAACATTTAATTGTCAAAAATATGATAATTTAATATGCAAGAACACTGCACTTTAAATGTGTCTAATTAATATTTGATATTTATTCAAGTTAAAAACAAACTAAACAAATTAAAAAGTCAACTTTTTTTTTTTTTAATAAAAATTAGTATTTTGATTATTGTTTTTACACTTATATATCAAACTAAATGTTTAATGTTTAAGTCAAATTTAATTTTAATTTTAAGGCCATCGTTTTCGGGAAAAAGTCATTATACTTAATATCCTACCAAAATACCTAAGTAAAATTCATATCTATTTTGTTTTCCTAAGGTATGATAAAAAGGAATACAATTAATTGTATTTGTTTGAAATCGGTGGACCCAGTACAATTGTCCAATTTGTCCATGCATAAATATGGCACTGTTCGTAAATTGTTTTTATACAGGAATTTTAACTATAATATTCATTAAAATACAATTTCCAGTATGTGCGATGGTTTTGGATAAGATTAATTGTTCAACTTATTGAAAAAAAAGTTACTAATAATTCTTAATATAAATAATTATTAATCATTGAATATTCTTAGAAATATGTCATCTACAGTCAAAACCATGTATCGTCTGTAATCACTTTTAATCGAATTCTAATAAAATATATTTATTACAAGGACTTTATACATTGAGTACTCATACTTCTACTATACAGCAGAATGCTGAATGACTTATCTGGTTATACAATTTATAAAATAATTATTTCTGTATCATTATTAACATACCTAGGATGTACAAATAAAAAAAACAATAAAACTGTAATATTTAACAATTGTATTGTACTTATAGTATTTTTTCTTTTTTCCTCATTTAATGGGATTCGAAACGCTACGTTTGTAAGGAATTACGTGCAGACAATAATAAGATTTCTTTGTAGTGTGTATGTGTGTGTAGTAAACAATCATCTGAAGACTCGGACGTATTCAAGCACTAAAAAAATTACCAAACAAGCATTAAAAGTCGTTAAATGTGTGCCTATTTGCTCGTTATTTGCACAAATCAGAGAAAATAAATACATAATAACTAGCTGTATGGTTCAATATCACCAGATTGCTAAATCAAATTGATAATCTGTTTATGTGCTCAATAAGTGTTTTGGAAATAATCGTATTAATTTCACGGTTTTCTGAAAAATAAACCATAAAAATAGTAAACAACGAACGACGTTGGATATTAATTTCTTTTTAATATTAAGCAGTCGGCGGTACGGGTAGTGCGCTCTGCCCGGAGCGCGGTCGATCGCGAATCGGCCAACGGCGACCGTACGCCACCGCCAGAGCGCGGTTTTCGGCGAAAAGGCCGTACGCTCTACCCAGTGATCACCGGGGCCAGTGTGCTATGTATATATACAACCGAATTGGTGAGTACCAAATGCAAGGACGCCCGCGGTACTCGGCGTCAACTCAGCCGTATGGCAGAAGCTCTACTGTACCCATCCCGGGGGGGGGACGGTAGAGTGTAAACAAAAACCCATTACTTAGTTTCCAGTTATTCATAGCAAAGTAAGGCAGTAATCAAAGCTTTGATTACTACCAAAAATGCGCATGTCGTTGGTCCATTGTGTGTTCGGTCTAACCGCCGGACGACACCGGAACAAAGTCTAAACGTTTAACGACTACTGCACACAACTCCGTCCTTGCACAAAAAAATTTTTTTGTGCCAAATTTCGGTGCATTTTTTTTTTCCGCCCCCTCGACTGCTCCCAATCGCCAGTGGAGTGATTTATTGTAAACGATGTGATTGCGCGTTATTTCAACGTGAACCGTTCGATTACACAATGATATACGATTTTTTTTCCGTGTTTAAAATATAAATTTACGCATCATTCGTGCCCACATTGCTCGAGTCGTGTTTGACGAATGACGTTTGAATAATGATGATTATTATTTAATTATTTAATAACACAACGAATAGAAGATATCGATATGCGATGAATATCTATAGACCGTGTTATAAACTTTTAGATATATATATATATAAAATTAATCGTTTTGCGTAATATCCTTTAATTTATTATTATTAATATAATAACTGAAATTTTATGTTTAGTTTTACGTATACCTACATCGTGTTTTTAATATTTCCAACGCGTCTAACTCTAAATATTACAAAAATGGTTTCTATACAATATTTTTAAGATATGCTTAAGATGTGCTACTATTATATACAATAGATGTTTTTGAAATGGACGAGGACACTAGTAAATGCGTACTCACTGTGATGGCCTAGTGAAAATTTTTTTGACTTTTTTTTTAATTTAAGTATTTTCAAATTATTTTTAGAATATTATCTTAGGTGTTGTATTTTTTCAAAATTCTCATACGAATCGAGACATTACATGGTTTTTGCGCTTGTTGTACGTTTTTCACGCTCGTATCTATTAAAATAAACCAAAAATTGCATCGCGTAACTATAGTAAAATTCATAAGAATAAACGTAAAAGTTTTAAGTTCTCGCGAATAATGTTTTTGAAATATAACAAAATAATTTACATCATTGTCCATTGTTTAAAATGTTTAAATAATATATTATTTCGTTCAAATTTGTAATTCAAACGTCTAAAAAAAAAGTATACATAAACTAATTCAGTGCGACTTGTTATGAACAACCTTGAACTAATATTTCAAGCTTTAGCTAAAAAAAAAAAAAATTGTACATTTTATAATTTTTTAACTGCAATGCCATATACTTGTACATTTTTGTGATTTTGACGAATTACGAATTTAAAATGCTTAAGATAATAATTTTGCCTAAACATATTTTAAATACTTTATACAGCTAAAAAAATAAATTATGGGAGATCTTGTATTACATTTTCAAGTTATTTGACTAAACAAAAAAATTGTTATCGACGCTTAAAGAAATAATACTAAAATAAAGGTAGTCAAATGAGTACCGCTCTATTAGAGTTGTGCAAAATTTTATCTAGATTAATTATTCGAATGATTTTCAACTATGGTTATTTGAATAAAATATTATTATATTTATTTATTTACATTTTTGTTGTTATTATTTAATAGTTTAATACTATTTATTATTGCTGTAATTATTACGAAATATTATAATTAATTATTAATTATTATATATTACTCGTATTATAATATTATAATATTATTTAAATATGATTAAAAAAAAACATTTCTAATCCTTTCTTCTATTGATATAATATATATTTGTTTTATTTATGATATTTTTAGATTTATTCAGAATAAAATAGGATTTATAATCATGTAGGTAACTTAAAATACAGGGCTAGTTATTGTTTTTAATATATGTTTTTTTTTTTTTTTTAATTATCAACCATGCTTATTCAAATAAATTAACCGTAAATTATTCGAATAAAATTTTATCTAAATAATCGTCTAGATAAAATTGCATTCGAATAACGCCCTACTCTGCCGCTCTACTGACACAATAGGTGTCGAGTGATCCACTACTATGAGCGTGTTAAATTTAAATTAAATTATTAAAACATTGTATAAGAATACCTAATGATTCTTAACAGAAACAGTCTGTCAGCTTATATCACTAAGTATATTTCATGATGTGTTTTTTTTATTTATTTTATTTTTAGTATTGTTGTAGGTTGGTATATTTTTTCTTAAAATATTGTATTTATTATTATTATTATTATTGAATTATTTATAGTCATATACTTATATCATATTATAATACATAGTTCAAAAAAGCTAAAATATTTTGGAAATTAAATATCAAGAAAAAGTTTATTTATTTAGGAAATTTTCTACTTTTGACTCCATTAATTAATAAGTGCCAACATGCTTAAAATAAATATAATTATTCTAGTGCTTGATTCGATGAAGGGTAACAGTGTTCCTTTTCTTTTTTCCTTTTTTTTTAAAGTACCCTTCTAATTATATTTCAATAATTAATAAAACGTTTAAATCTTAAAGTTTACACACATTTTATTTTTACACTTTTGAATACCCTATTCAAAAAATGTTACATGACACTATGCAATATATTAAGAAAATATTATTATAGTAATTTATCATGATTAATAATTATGATACTTTATTCCAAGTAAAAACACAAAATCTTACACAAATACTTTTATTTTATTTATTTTAAGAGCGTTTTAAACTATCATGTTTACTAAACTAATAATAAAAATTTTGCCGTTGGATACATGCACTCAATGCATGCGGACTGGGACGTTTAAACAGCATAATTTATATTATTAGTTTAGTAAACATGATGGTTTAAAACATTCATACAATAAACTGTATAACTATAGATTTTTAGTGGTATTTGTAATTACGTCCACGGATAATTTTGCCATAGTTGATGATGTAAAATATTAACATCATACCGACAATACTATGAATTAACGGAGCAACTGTTGAACGTTTCGGTTGTACATATTGGTGTGACCACCTCCAATAAGCGCGTGAAAATAATCCAGCGATTGATTTTGGCGATTTATTGCGACACTTCACCCAATTAGTAACCTCGCAGAGTTTAAGTTGCGAAAACGGCTTGTCGGGTGTACCGTAAAAACGGGCCGGATCGTACGGTCCGTGCACTTTAGGATTGTATTCATCAGGATAGTCACCGATGCCACTGATCTTGAACGATGCTGCACGACGATCTTGAAAGTTCTTTGCCACGGTCTTGACTAGATAATATTATAGACGAGAAAAAACAGTGATGCCGATTATTACTCACGGTATTTAACTATGCGTGTATTGTCGATTTAATAATTTAATATCGTGCATTGAACTTACTATAGCAGTAGATTTTTTTAATGGAATTCATGGAAAAAAAAATAGATATGCGATTGCGGATTAAGAAATATAGGGCACCTTTATCTATTTATTATTTAATTGTGTCAAACTAAATTTTTGAATAAATTAAGTGAATTAATAAACGATTAATGAAACACAAGTTACAACAGCATTCCGTTGTTATCGATACGCGTAAGTGAGTAACAGTTGAGGTAAAAAACAATAACGACCAATTACCAAAAATAATAAATACTACTTATTCAAATCAATAAATTTTTCTTTATCATTTTTTCGTGCAACCTATAAGTATAGTATCAATGTAAATTAATGTATAATTAATAAATTATACAAATTTAAATAGATTGATTTTTGAATTAGAGATTATTTATAAAATTATATAAATACTAGTTATATACTAGGAAAATAACATAAAAAATTTAAAAATAAGAATTCACAATAGCTAAAAGTATATTATATTTTCTAGTTGTATCCTACAGACTGTCTAAACCTATCTTCAGGTATATTTGAAATAAACATAATTAAATCAATTAACACCAAAAAATAGGTAATTATTAAAAACTAATTAAAAACTTTAAAAACATAAACATTTATTTTATTAGGTTTTTATTTATAGTACTATTTATGTCAATACGAAAAATAATTTGGCTTACAAAATGTTTTATTAATTATTTTTGTTTGTTTATTTTTTAATTATCACCTTATAATATTACTTGAAGATAGCCTTAAGCCTAAACTTATGGTTACTTATTAAATATATATTTTTAACTATTGTAAATTCTTATTTTGAAATTATTTATTCACACTATTTTAATTTATGTTTTAACTATTTACATGTTTCAAACCAATTAATTATACAAAAAAACTTAAATTTTTAATTTCGTGACTTTTTCAAGAATGTACCGTGAAAAGTAGTGAAGTCAGATTGTGTTTTATTCTTGTATGTTAATTTTATTAATTAATGATACAATAAACATAATAATATAAAATATACACTCGTATACGTGCAAAATATATATTATAAAACAACAGAGAATACAAAATTATTTGTCGTTAGAAATTTTTCTCGCAAAACTATATTATTACATAATATTTGTGTACTTCGCTCAATACTTTTTACCAAAAACAAAAAAAAAACAAAATAATTAATATTTTTGTGTAATGTGATTTTTACATGCGTGCACGTACAAGAGTACTTCGCTATTTCTTTTATATAGTCACTCAGACTAATGATCACTTATTGATCATTTAGTTACTACGCACTAATTTGTACGATCCGCATGCACATGCATAAAAAATTACCTTTATTGAACTCTTTAAAAACGATCGGTATCAATGAAAACGGTTATTCGAATTAACCAGATCTTAATGCCATAATGTAAACAAATTAATATACATTATAAAAAACTATATCGATATCAGGAATTAAAGATTATTAAAATACAATTTGTGATGATTATTCCATACGAATAATTATAGTAATATTATATTCAAATAATGTTTCACCATTACTAAAATTATTATTTTCTATATGCTTAACAATATTTTAAAATCTTCAGATTAATTTTATACTGTTTATAACACAACAAGAAACTTTTTACACAATCACATCACGTACATTATACATTTTCAATTTTTTTTTATTTCCATAATTACAACTACTTAAGAGTATCTAACCTCGTATTAAACTTTCAAACTTTTTGACTAAGCATGAAAATATTAAGTAACATTTATAGAAAAAAATCTCATATCCATTATAAAAATTAAAAAATTATAATTTGAGTAATAGCGGAGAGTTTAAAGTTCTTTTTTATAACGAATAAATTATTATTATATACGTTTGAATAATATCCAAATATCCGATATCAGAATATAAAATGCTCTTAAAAAAAATTTTAATGGCTTTCTGCTAAAATGTTTTATCGATTATTAAAAACAATCTTAGATGTTTAAGTTCAAAAAATTATGAATTAAATAAATTTTTTGTTGAACGCTTATAAAAATAAATTGCGATTATATATTTTAGGTTTTTTTTTAATGCCTCTAATCGGAAACATATTAAATAAATAAGCTTTTTTTACAAACAATTTTATAGCAAATGTGTATATAAATCAAAAAATAAAAATAAAAACTTCGAATTTTTAAAGAAATATGCTTATCAAAATAATCGGAAATAAACTTAGAGTTTCTTCAGTCAATTATTTTAAATTAAAATAAACATAGATTTTATCGAAAACTAGTGATCTAAATGTATGAATATTTTATATTAAAATATAAAATATTTTAATATGAATTTTAGATTCTGAGCAGATTTTTTCACAGTAGATATACTGTGTGTTTTTCTTTCGTACCTATCTAAAAACACATTTGAAAATAATTTCCTAACTTCGGGAGAGGTTTCTGGTAGCAAATTTATTCTAGTTGATACTTCAGTAAATATTTCTTACTACACTTCAACATATATTTATGGAAAAAATAAGAAAATATGTATATATTTACGCAAAATCAGTTATTGAAATTATCAATTTAGTTTTGTTATTGCAATTCAAAAATAAACTATCTTTCATATTACATACCTACTTGAAATTTCTTTACAAGATTTTTTTTAATAGCATTTAAAAATATCAAAAACTTAAAATTACGAGTACAATTTTTTTTTATAATCGTAATAATTTTATTATTATTTATGTACAGCATAGGATTTATTAGATACAAATAATGAGTTAGAGCTATATAGCGATCCCGTTTAATTCAAGTACAATGTTTATTTAGTTTTGTGCCACAAATTTGGTATTTTGTTTTTGTATTTTTGTTAGCCTAGTCCAGGCATGCCCAAACTTTTTCAACTGGCGGGCCACATTCAAAATGTATATTTGTACTGCGGGCCGTATATTATGCTTCATGGGTTTTTTTTTGTTCATTTTAATAAAATATAGACTAATCATAGGTATATCTATTGTACATTTTATTGAATATAATATTATCTTTGTTCACTTATCGAATTTATGACTCAAATCGTATGTGTTTAAAGTTCTCAATATTTCCACGCTATAGTTGTTAGTTTGTTTTCGTCATTAAAAATTATTTTATATTCTTAAAAACTTAATAAAATACATTTTTTTGTAAATAATAATTTTTTTTTTTACACCTATACAAATTTCTAATTTTTATAAAATGATCACGGGCCGGTTGGAACACCTTCGCGGGCCGCGGGTTAGGCATATCTGGTCTAGTCAATAATAAAAAAAAAAAGTATTAAAAATACTGTAACTTAAATCATCAAATCCTCTCATTTTAATGTCTATTAAAAAAATGTGGGTCATTTTTTAAGGGCATCATAGCGTTGAAAATGCAGTTTTTAAATTATTTTTGATTATTTTTCTGGACTGTTTTTTGATAGTTTTCAAAGCATTCAAATCCGGGCTCTTAGTCTACATTATTACTATATATACCTGCGTGATATTATAAGCTTGCGCGGTTCCTAGGTGGGTACGCGTGCGTGCGGACGATACGCAACAATAATCGACTAACACCTAAAAACCGGTAAAAACACGTTCCACCGTTGGATATACACTATGGTCGTTTAATTCCATTATGCACGATTCTCGTTGTTCGCATCCACGACACCACGAAATAGACTTACAATGATATTTAGTATAATATACTAATAAAGAAACAATAACGAATATCGTACTCGGGTGTTTAGTGACAATAAGGTGACACGTGTTGGCACAGTTGTTGTCGTCTGTCCCGTTCTTCATTTCGACTCGCACCGCGCTCGCTCGTGCTGCACTAACGGGGTAAAGGGGGTGGCCCGTCGGTTGGACGAAGGCGAAGGAGAGGTGCGTTGTATGAATGTGTCGTAACGTTTAATATAATAATAATAATAATAATAATGATGATAATGTGTGTATTATGGTTTTTTCGTCTGTTTTTTTTTTCAATTATTTAAACAAGTGTAGATCCGTGTAATTAAAACGTTTTTTTTTTTTTGTTTTTTTTTTTTAACGCCACTCTATGTATTTGCATCTATATTATACAAGTCGTGTATGACGAGTGTTTCCGCGGTCTCTACGTGTTAGGTATCCATTAAACTATTAGTACGGTTTTGGTACCCGGACTATTCGAATGCTACCATTAAAAAGCTATCAATCGTCTTCGACCCATAATAGCTATAATATAGACACCACTGCCTATACTAACATTCTAATATTGGTGTAGCCGTCAAGTGGCCTCAGTCGGGCGAAGAAGTCTTTCCGCTTCCCGATTAAAAGAAAACCAGTACATAAGACAAACATCATGAGCGAAACATCGCCCAGAGGAAACGAAGGGGATTCGAGATCCGTTATACAAGTGAGTATATCATATTTTAACTAATTCGTATTAGGTAAACGATTTGACGGTCATCCGTTTTCTCAATAATCAATCATACATATTATTGCACGTGTGATTATATTATAGACCGTCAAAAAAACGACACAATTGTCGTTGGTTATAGTTGCTTTAATATCAAATACTTAACACTCTTACAATGTTTTATACTGCGAATTGATATATCACGATAGCGCATAGTTCTTTATTGTATACCCACCTACAATAATACTAAACTTTAGACTAAAACAACAAAACTGTAATATTATTATATTAAATCGTGTTATTTCATTGAGTTGGATAGTCGCATATACATATATCATATAGTAATTGACGCGATATAATGAGTAAACGTAAAACGTAATACACTGTAATTCATTCGTTAGAGAAAAATATATTCATACACAACCGTTCAAAAAAAAAAAAAATAAAAAATAAAATACTAATTTTTAAATTGATGCACTTCCTACGCTAATAAACTTATCGTTATTTTATAAACTTTCGTATAAAACCCTGCAGAAATCAAAAAGTTTTAAAACCATAGTACCTAGCGACTATATGTAGTAAAGTTAATACGTGTACGTATTATCAGTGGACATCATCAATCGCTACAGAATGCAAATGTTGCAGTACTGTACATTATAATTATAACTGGTTTGAAATGTTAAAAAAATGTTCAAGGTGTATAAAACCTATTATATTACTTTATATAGCTATTAGCCGCAATATATTACAAATACGTGTTCAAATTTCATTCATAAATCGATGATAATATGTATAATATATTATAATATGTTAACGTTAAAGTTGGTGTTATTTCATGAAATATCTAGATACTTTATACAATACATACACTAACTAAATTAAGGCAATAAACCATATAATTTAACTAGTCGTTTTATTAATTCTTCAAAATCGTTCATTTGTATTGTGAACAATACTATTATGCACTATAAAATAAAGACAACCTCCTAAAAATCTATGCTTAACAAATCGTACAAATAAAAAACTTTAAAAAAAATAAAAATAAAATACTTTAACAAAAAAATTTTCAATTGGGGATTATATACTATACTTGTTATTTATTTAAACATTTTAACTAAAATATTACCTACTTTATATTATAAAATAATGGATTTCATACTTGAACAAAAAAAAAAACTAAAAATGTTATTTTGCAATGTCGTAAAAGTAAGTAAAAATAATATTTTTAAAATAGTCATAACTTTTCAAAATTTTTTCCAATAAAATCAGATTGACTTGAGTTTATTTCTATTGTATAATTAAATAATATTTAATTATTAGAATACAGGAAAGTCGAGATCGTCCGTTGTTTGCTGTGTTAGCAATCAAGAATATCATTTATCATTATATTTTATAGGTATGTAATTTAGGCGTTCTTCAGCGTGTTTAATGGTGTATTATCGACAAGGATTGATATCTTCTTTGATTAAGGTTAAGTTAGGTTTGATTACTGGTATATCACCGAAATATCAAAATTATGCCAAAAATCATTGAATATATAAAGTCTAAAAAATATAATGATGAATATTGTACTAAGGTCCTAACCTTTCAGATTAAATTACATATAACTTTGCAAAGTGTATTATTTTTATAATGTTCATAAGTTATAGATATACAGTTTTAAGTAAATTTGTAGTGGTAATGGGGCCTTAAGCAAATAAGCAAGGATTTTATCAATTCCACTACGATGGTAAACAGTTAATTGAAATCAATCAATTGTGTCAATTTAAGTTGTAAGTTTAAATACCTCGAGATTGGGCTACTATTTTTGATACCAAAAAAAATTCTAACTATAGGCAGATTAGAAAGAATGGAGAAATGCAAAAATTTACTGAACAAAAATTATAAATCGTATTAGGTATATTATCAATAATTTATAAACATACATATTCATTATTACAATATTATTTAATATTAATATATATTTTTCAAAATCAACTCAAAAGAATCTGAGTTATTCAACAACAGTAAGTACTTAAACAATCACAAATAAAGTAGTTGTTATTTAATATTTTTGTATTATTAAAAATATGGTTTTGACGTAATTGTGTAATATTGTATTATTGTGAACACGATTAGATATTATATTATGTACAATGTTTATTAGTTTATTCATTGTTAAGTAATCAAATCAAATATAAACGTACATTTTAATAGAACTAATAAGAGGTTACCAGATGATGACGAGATGGAAATATCGGTTGCAAGCGGAATCGATATAGGTTATTGTAGTGACAAATCAATGATGGGTGAGCTTTGGACTAAAGCGAGCTCTTGTAAAAAATCCTAAATACGGCACCGGTGTGATTTTTATTATTTTGATTCAGGAAAACGTCACTCGAATCGTGTACGTGAACAAACCACACGTGGAAACAACGACAGCGGCGGTCTCGGCGATCACCACGTCCTCCTCGCACTACGACCAAAGCTCGTCGGACTCGACCACTATTTGCACGCTCAACAACGTGCTGCCGCCAATGAGTTACGACTACCAACACCATCATCCACCGTTGGCCAGCCTCCAGATCGGCGGGCCCGTGGTTCCGCCGCCAGCACCCGTGTACGGCACGTCCCCCGACGAACATCAGTACTCGCCCACGGTGGCAGGCGTCGGCAGCGGCACCAACTGTTACATGCAGACCGAGGTCAAAGCCAGCTCGAGAGTACGCTCATACGAGTCCGAAAGAGGTATAAATAATAAAATTATAAAAAATAATATTGACATACCCAACGACGTACCTTCCTACATCCTGCAAGTTCAAATTGATCCGTTCATTAAAGATTCTCTGTTTCGTAGTTAAATAGCTTATTCTAGACTACGGAAATCCGTTCCCTGTGATCTCCTGTCTTGGTTGCCATCTTAATTATTATATGATACCTACATTTCCACTAATTTACTACCCGACACCTATTTGGTATGGTGTATTGCTAAAAAATTATTTCAAATAAAAAACTCTCAGGCCACGTATAATCGTTAAATTTTTGATAAATGTTTATTTTTTATCCGAGAGAAAAAGATTTTTATAGCCTGCATTCAACTCATATTTTTTTTTTTTTTTTTATCATAGGTAACATTAACTACCAAGTTCTATTACCTACGTCTTTTATTATCATTATTTATTCTATTTAAGTATTTTTGTAAATATCAAATGATAATAATATAACTATTGTTGTATTAGTGCTTCGGTCAGTATTATTGTTTCATCATCTTAATTAAATTAATAGGTATGTAGTTGTTTAATGGGAGTGGAAAATAAACATGATACATTGATAAAATTCGAAACAAGCTATTTTTTGCCCGTTTTTGTAATGTAGATTTTGAAAAAAGTTTGAGTTTCTTGGTCTTGCTAACTTTTAAAATACGTTGCTATAATAATACTAAAAAATAGTCATGGCATTTATCTAATGTATTTTTTTAATAAAAATAATTTAATTAAATGTTTAACTATAATATCATAGCGTTCATTGATTATTTATGCATATTTTCTCAATTTTAAGATAATAAAAATAGAATACGTATAGGTACAAGTTTTTTAGAAGATATTAGCATCGCATTAAGTTATTCGGAATGTAGTCATAACAGATTATATAAACAGTAAACAAACTATTTAGATTCAATATTGTAAAAATATTTGATAATTTTCAAATTTTTAAAATTCCAATAGTTTATTATGAACTTATTAAAGAACATTCTGGTCATTCTCACAGATTTCTACATTATACTATATTGACTAATTTGTGGGCTATAAGTACCTATAATACATACGGACAAGTACTGACAATATTTACTATCAGTGAAGTTGAATTTAATAATTACCATTAGGTGGTTCTACTCAATAGTCGACCAATGCTTCTATCTTTGTCAATTTTTTAATTCAATATAACTTATTATAGTTTTAGGATTCTGAGAGGAGTTATGAATGTATTGATTTTACAATGCTGTATTACATAGCAAAGCAAATACCTACTTCCTTTTTATTTTTTTAATTAAAATTTTAATGAATTAACATAAATATAACAATTTTTACTACTTTTATTACCCGCTAAATTATGAGATGGTAATACGCTGTATGTAAATCATACTGTGCTTCTTCAAATTTATATTATAATGTATACCCATTTATTGTTATATTTAAATACTTTCAAGATAAAATGTTTTACATTATGAATTTTTTTTTTTTTTTTTATACAGATAAATTCATCATACTATTTTAATTTTTAAAAGTGGTAGTCAAGTTAAAGCATCAACAATTATTTTGCATATTGTGCACATAATAATTTTTACAAGAATAATTTAATAACTATAGCCTATAAGTAATTAATAGTGCTTAGAAGTTATGGCACTAAAAAGGTACATTTTTAGATCTTTAACATGTACTTTAAAACGCTAAAATCAACACTAAAAAATTGTAAATATGCAAAATAAAATTGTCAACCAAATTGTTTAAAAAATTTGAATTTTACAAATTTTTTATTTTTTTATAGAATATGATAGTAAATACTATATTTAAAAACTATAGGTATTTGATTCAACTCGGTAGCTTAAATACTCGAATCTGATAATTGCAGTACAGTGTATCTGTCATCTAATATTATTTTAAAAATAACCGTATTATTGAGAATAATTAATAAATTAATTGTCCTATGTATTCAACGATAACAACATACCGACTATTTAAAAATCAAAATGCATATTTAACATGTTTTTGTTCACGTGTTAGTATACTTTATTGAAGTTGTGTAGTTTATTTCTTTTATTATACAAAAATATACCTGTACACTAAAAACCGTAATTATAAATTATAGCTAAACAAAATTTCTTAAACATCAGGAAAGTGTGAAACAAATTTGTATCTTACTTTTGATGTTCTATGAATTACCAAAAAATATTAGCATTTTCTACAATTTCCGAGCATTTGTAATTAATAACCATACAATCCATCTTAAAATATTGTCCACAGACTATAAAAAATCCGCTTGTGACAGAGAACGAACCAGAATGCGAGACATGAACAAGGCTTTTGATCTTCTAAGAAACCGTTTGCCCAAGAGTAAACCTCCCGGAAAGAAACTATCTAAAATCGAGTCATTGAGGTTAGTATATAGGTACTAACATATTATTATCATTATATATAAATATTTTATAAGTCTTAATAGTTTTTGTACTTAACATAAGAAATAGTAATAATCTTTTTAAATATTTTTCGACGGATTTTCAATCTAAATACTTATATACTAATACGCTAAATACTCGTTTAAAATTCGATTTCTAATTACTTAAAAAAGTTTTTTGATACCAAATTCTCAAATTGTATTTTTTAAAATATAAAAATATTAATATATTACCAACTTAGGTCATAAATGCATGTTATTTAATGTGATTGATAATAAAACCGTGAGTACATCAATGATAGAGTAAATATAATATGAGTTAAACCTTAAAACTTTGTAAGTAGTTTATGATAACAAATTGGATCTAATTTGTACATTTAAGAAGTTTAAATCAATAAATTCCAAGTATTTTTCAAAATCATTGAGATTAACAAGCAGACCTAGGTATTGTCAAAATCGATTTTAATATTTTTGGAACTGTAACTAAAAAATAAATAGTTGTAAATACTTAAAATTGTAACCAAATTATGGTTCATTGTTTTATATACATGATAAAGTCAAAACTATTTGACTTTTCTTAAGCTATTCGTAGGAAGAAATTATAAGAAATTAAAAATTCATTAACATTTTTTCAATTATAGTGTCTATTAAAAAAAAAAAAAAAATTCCCAGTGAAAAATACTTGAAAAATTATTTTGTTATTTTGGTATAAATCAAAATCAAATAACCGTAAATACTTAAAATTTTCATCAAATTTTTATATTATCTAAACATATATTTCTATTTACTATATAAAATTTACAAAAAAATGTTGACTCTTTGAGCTATTTTTAAGCATAAGAAATTTTTAATTCATTTAAGTTTTTTATTTTCAATGATGATTATTAAATAGCTTGAAACTTTAATACAATTCACCAAATAAGTTCTTCTCTTAATTGCAAAGACACATTTTTTTTAAAATAAATTTATTTATTTGAAGTACAAATTTTAACAAATCACGAAAATTAACAAATTATTTTCTAGTAAAAAAATGTATAGTACTGTTAATTTTATAATTATAAAATTTAATATAAGATTGTTCATAAGTAGTTTATAATAAAATCAAAAAAACTTAAACACTCGATTTTTTTTTACACAGATATTTTAAATTCAACTTTAAAAAAAATTCTCCGTGTATAAACAATGAATTAAAATTGTAATTATTTTATTGTTATTGAAAAATATAATCGTGGGAATTTAAAACTTACATACATTTTTATATTTTATATAAAGTATGACATTTTCAAAACATTTAGACTAATTCTATGCTATTTTTTATTTACAATTTAATAATAATATTACAAAAATTAAAAGATACTTTTAAAAAGGGTTTTTATTACATAATATTAAATAAAAATGATCAAACTAACTCTAATCACATTATTTAAATTAACGAAAATTGGCGTTGTAGTGGTCGTCATAAATTAAACGGCCTATGTTTATCATATTATATTATAGGTAATAGGACTAAGCTACCGCCAATTGTATTTGATCCTTATATAAATAAAACATATGTTATAAAAGTAATATAACAAAACAAAATAAATAACACCTATTTTATGTTTTTTTTTTTTTTTTGTTTCTGGTGATTTTGTTTATTGTATATTTTTATCAAATATAAAATACAATGAAAATTTCAAAATATACAATTTGCATTTAAATCTGTGTCTTAACAAAAGTGTATTAATAGTATAATAATATTATTATTATTATTATTTATAAAATTTATTTTATTAATTTTACGCCTTATACCTTTTTAATACAATAATTTTAACAGTACTATGAATTTAATATAACAATACAAATATTATATAATAGATACATAAAAATTTCAATTTTTTTCATATTAAAACATTATATTCATAACTCACACATAGTGGTAATTATGTCATTATTTCTCCGCACGCATGATCATATTAGTTCTATACATGGCTTTCTTTGTAGGGTCGTCTTCCAAAAAAACCCCTTTTTACTGGGACTAAATAGTATAGAGTGTATAATGTATATTATATATTACAATATATACTCAATGATATTAAGTATCTATAATCACCTATTATATAGTAAAAATGAAAAATACACAATGACTTATTTATTTGTGTACTACAGAATGGCCATACGGTACATAAGACATTTACAAGCGATCTTGGAGTATGGACCAGAGTACGAAACCAAACTGTATACTATGCCGTCGTGTACCCAATACCTACCTCCACCGACGTACTACGGTTACCAGCCACAATATGGTCAATGTTGGAATGCTGCAACAGACTATCCTCCAAACGTAAACAACCAATATTAGTTATTAGTTATTACTTATTAACAATCACATTACCAAGTTATTCTTACCACCTAACGTAATAATTTGAACATCACCTATACAATAATGTTATAGATAGTTACTACTATACATTAATAAATATGTACATGAATACCAAAATGTGTCGTACGATGTATCATAACATTATATTCTCTTCAAATTTATGTAAGTCATAGATTTTCTTCCTATTTCTTAATTGTGTTTTTTTACTTTTCAATAATTTTAGATTATCTAATAATATAACAACTAAAACATACTAAAGTACCTATTAATTGAAATTAAAATTGTATTAACTTAGTTATTTGTTTGAACTTTTAAATAAATATTTTATTTGTTTCATTAATTATGACGTATTTTAAAGAAGAAAAAAATGTTTTATTTTTATTTAAATATGTTTTTCGTCCAATTCTAATATAAAGGTATTTATAATTATAAATGGGGTGGTATTAATTATTAGCTCAATAAAAAAACTGTTAAATGTGCATTAAAGCCAGAATAATGAAAAATCTACGTAAAGGTTATTCAGATGAAAGTGATGAAACATGACTGCGAACGCTTTACCTTTTTTACAACACAATTGCGAAATGACACTGTTTGTCAAAAGCTATTGTTTTGTTGTTTTGTACCTAAAAAATCAAACGATTGCGGGCAAAAATTTGTATAATGTCAATTCAGTCTATTGAGCCCATTGATTATCAATTTTATAATCGGTGTATCGTCCGAATGTCTCAACTCATGTGAACAACTACACCACGGTTTAAGACTTACATACTATTAGTATATTGCAAACCGTGAGCTACACAATACTGAAAAATAAATATAGTAACAACATATTATTTTGATCCTCTTAGAAAAATTATGGTTTTTATACTTTTATTTTCGTTGCTATAGATATATTCTTATACAATAAGTTATTAGGTATACAATAGCTTTAAAAATCACTGCACTTTTTTTCTAGTCCTCTACTTTTTTATAAAAATGTGTTTATATAATTGCTCTTTTGGATCATTATTTAAATTATTTTGTGTAATAATAATTGTAACTTTTTGTTGTGTATACTATTATCTTATTCAAAATAATTCAGTCGAAAATAAATATATTTCACTAACGAAATCGTTGGTTGAATGCGTATCAGGCGGAGAAAAAACAAACAAATTGAATGATACAGTGGACCAGAAAGATGCTATCAATATCGAAATTATTTCTTCATCTCGCACAGGCAATGGTGGTGGAGAATTCATATGTTTTTTCCCATTATTCTTAATGTCTTTGTTTTTGTTCCTGTTTTGCAATACATGTCCTGAGTACTTTTTCCGGAAGAGAATTAAAATTAACAAAAATCGTTATATAAACGTCGAAAAAAACTGTGGCTGCAATAGTAAATACGAAGCAACAACTGAACCATAATAAAAGTTAAAATTTAATTTTTGTCGTCGTTCAAACAACCGTTTCATTTTTATTATTACATTTAATACTATAGTTTAATCTTAAAAGAAAGTTTCTATAAATAGACTCTTGGTAACGTATTAATAATACAGAACAAAATATGAAACAAGACACACACGTCTATGAGATAATACTATGTTAAAATATTAGATAGCTAGAAATGGAATTTCAACCAAATATTAATTCACTGCTGCACATTTCGGTGTCGTGTTTAGTAAAATGCAGTCACTATTATGGGATAAGCATATTATATTTTAACAATTTGAAGCTTGTTTCAACTCCTGCTTTTCAACACCTGAAAGCAGCGATCCATCAGAAGCTAAAACTTTGATACCGGGTCACTTTCTAATCAGTGCTGAAGGATCAATACATTTACCAACATGAGTGGTCTTATTGCATTGTTCACATTGACATAATAGAAACATGCGCAGTATTTAATACAAACATTTTGAAAATTAATGAAGAACGAATAAATATTTACCGTAATAACAAGTATGAGGAAAGTTGATAATCCATGAACGAAAAATAAACATAGATATTTCATCGTATAAAGATGAATGATATGCCACACAAGAAAATTATGAAACAGACGAACGGTAATAGTGGTAACAATAAAAAAATATATGGTACAGTTAGTGCAGCAACTAAAGTTTTAGAACTCAAGAAAACTGTAGTCTGATTATGATTAATTATTAAGGTTTAAAATGAAGAAAAAGGAGAAAAATAAACATTTAAAACCGGAAGAAGAATGTTACCGCCGATAATGTCAATAACGAACGGCTAAAGCACCTCCCCACTAAACTAATTGCGATTTCACGACCATGCAACGATCTATTTTATATTCATTATTCATAGCCGACCAACGCACATATATCATATAATTGATGGGTATCGACACTATTAATCCATTAAGACAATTATGTAACGTGTATAATCATTGTTTTTCAGTCATGTGTTTATACCTTTTATTGTGTGTCACCTGTAAGTATCTTTTTGATAGCCAACTATCCGCAAGTATACATATATTTTTCTAGTCTATCTTACGTGTTAAATTGTGAATTATTGTTTTCGTTGTAGTTTTTTATTGTACTGTAGCGCAAATGACCACACTTCTTAATGGTTTATGGAAAAAAAGTCACAATATAAAAAATTTTAAATACAGTATTTGATAAAAATTAGTTTTTTTACTATTATATTTTAGAGTATACAAGTCGCCAAATTACATATGTGTGTTATAATCTAGTCGTTTTCAATGTTTTAAGTACCTATTTATAAGCGATAATGAACTCTTATTATTACAATAATTGTCAAAGGCTCAAAATAGCTAGATATTATTGTTGTACCTATACATTACAGTTAAAGTGAATAATCAGACTTTGTAGTAAAATATCAGACCAATATAGGTGTTTTGTGTAAAAATTTCATAAAATTAAGAAATATTTCAATATTTTAATAAATTTTGATTTTAGAAAAATTATTGTTAAACTTGTGAAATTTTTTACGCTCGATCTTAACTAAACTAACAACAATATAGTAACAAAATAACAAAATTTGGCATTCACGATAAAAAAAAACAATATATCTACACTCTACAGGTAATGAATACGATCGTAATTATTTTACCCATCGTCAATTAATATTTATTTGTTTTATGAATGAAAACCTAAAAACTATTAAAGCAAATATAATAAAAACAGTATTTCTAAATATTTACACTAAATGCTCATGCAATGTATTGTGTATACGTTAAAAAAATAATAATTAATTGACCTGAAAATTCTAAAAAATACTCTAAAACGGAATACCATAAAAAAAATTTTTAAAAATATGCAAAATAAAAGTTTTACTTTTAAGGTATCTGTAGCATGAAACGGATTATATACTCGTACTTGGAAAACATTACCTTAGTCTTAGTGACTGGTACACCCCATATGGCGTACATCTAAAAAATAATGCACTTTTCATTGAAATCCATACTCTAATAACTAGAATGCAGAAATTATTCACTTTTATCGTAACATAGAGATATATAAATAGCACAGCTATAATTTAACTGCAATTATTACTGTTTTAATATTTAATTAAATTAACACTAATTTCCACTGAATGTTTATAGGCTCAAATAGCCAGAATTTATGTCTATTTTATTATATTAATCATACCTATTATGATAAATTAAAGTTAGATGAATTGATTAGGTACTTTTACATTTTTTTCTTGTGCGTCATAGATGATGCTTCCCTAACTTAATATGTTTAAAATGTTTCAATATAATTCAATAATAATTAATTTTAATATGTCTACTACAATAAGGTTTGTTAGTGTATGCAAAGTAAATTGGCATTAATATGTGCACGTTACAACCTCGTCTCGTATTCGTATACCTCGTACACGTAAGCACATGCCAAATTAATAAAAATATAATCATATACCAAATACTTTTGAACAGAAATATAACCGTGACAAGATTGTGATATTTTGACTGGTCCAACTACAATTCTGTTAACATCTCAACATCTTTTTTAGGTTTTGATCGAGATGTTTTTGGAAATATGAATTTCTGCCTTATGTATAAACAAATAAAAATATACTTTGGAAATTTTGTTTAATTATAATGTAATCATTCGTAGTATCAAATACATTCATACTTTAAAAAAAAATTATACTTTTACATTTTCGTAAATTTTTTTGATTTCAGTATAAGCTACAAACTATTTATAAGGAACTTTATGTTACATTTTTAACTGGAAACAATTTGTTAGCTATTTGTGATTTTGATAAATTATTTTTAAATATTAACTTCGAATGCTTATAAAAATAAATTGTGCCTATGATTTTAAATATTTGTAAATAGCTATAAATAGAACTAATTTTGTATTTGGTATTATATTTTCAATCTTTTGACAGAGCTAAAAAAAATTATTACCACTTTAAAGAAATAAAAATTAACTAAAAATATTAAAAATGTCTATAAATAAAATCTAATATAAGGTTCCTCAAAAGTTGTTATTTTAACTATTTTAAAATATTAAATAAACATACGCACAACTTTTTAAATAAGTTTTTGAAGTTCAAATGTGAACGAAATTAACTATTATTTAAATTATAGTTATTTCAATGTAATTCAAAAACATTATTTACGGCCCCGCAGTGGCAAAACTTTTACTTATATATTTTAATATATCCAATAACATTTTAAATATTTCATTGAATTTTAAGTTATTATTTATTTCTATTAAGAACTTATTCATACTATTCTACGATGCGTTGGTAATGACTTCAAAATTAATAACAATAATATAGTAGGTATTGTATAAGTATGGATATTGATACTATTTTAATAAATGCAATGTTTTCAGCAAAAATTTAATCAACCTACCGTAATACTAATAATTAATTAAGTATAATAATCAATAAATAGTAGTCTATTATTAGAAAAAGGAAGGTATGTTCGTGATATTTCTTTCAACATTTATAACGAACATACCTATTAGCCGAAACTATCTAAATACCGTCAAATGGTACCCCAGGAACTACTGTCGATTGACGTAAAGTCGTTTGATGCGTGTGGTACGTCAATTGTTTATTATCAGTTTGTACATTTTTTATCATTATTTGACGTGCGTTCAGCACGTTCGTTTTAACCATATATCTGTGGTTTTAACGTACTCACTAATCACTACTCATTCAAAATTTTTATTTCTCATCTTGTGTTCAAGGTAAGCGTATTACCTATTTTTATTAAATATCAAACTAGAAAACATGCTTGATTTTATGGTAATATTTGTGTTTTTCTATTGACTTGATTTAAAAA